TGGTGGCCGAACACTTCTCTGGTACCGCCCAAACGCACACAACAGCCAATCACATATCTTTAGAACTTCTCTGGTACCTCCTACACACACACAACAACCAATCAAATATATTTTTGATTATCTGTCTCCAGGTCGCACGGTGAAGGAGTATAAGAGCATCGCCTCATTCCAAAACGCCACCAGTGAGGTCATCGACGGCAGGAAGTTCTACCAGGGGTGTGGCCATGCCGTTCATAATGGATCCTTCTACTATCACATCGCCGGAACCACCAACCTGGCCAGGTAAAGAACCATAGTTTGGTATCTCCAACCTGGCCAGGTAAATAACCATAGTTTGGTATCTCCAACCTGGCCAGGTAAAGAACCATAGTTTGGAACCTCAAACCTGACCACGTAAAGAAGGGATGGTAGTTATCCTGCTCAAATCCAATTGACCCCTTAGCTCCTACCGCACTAGATACTTGCCTGAGAACAATGGATAGTTGTCAGAGGTCTGTCAAGGTGAAGCTTTTTGGTCTTGTGCAATTAAAGTCTTTAAGCAAAATATTCTGTCTTTGTGATGTCAATGGCTGTGTATATGATCCTGAGAGTCTTCTTTTCTTCTGCTGGTGTGACATCGTTGTGCACAATGTTCTTTATTTCTAACACCCTCCATCCATCCCCCAGGTTCGACCTGCAGTCCAAGCGTCTCCACACCCTGGCCATCGACAACGCTCTGTACCACAACCTGTCCTACCTTCTCCACAACTCCAAGACCTACTTCAAGCTGGCGGCGGATGAGAACGGCCTGTGGCTCATCTTTGCCTCCAGCCTGGACGACAGCATTATAGTGGCCCAGCTGGACCTGAAGAGCTTCTCCGTCACATCGTACATCAACACCACCTACCCAAGGACCAAGGCCGGCAACGTCTTCGTGGCCTGTGGCGTGCTCTATGTCACCGACACCAAGGACACCCGTGTGACCTTCGCCTTCGACCTCCTGAAGGGGAAACCGGTCAACGTGACCTTTGACCTGAGGTCACCTGGCGGGGTGCTGGCCATGCTGTCCTATAGCCCCAATGACAGACACCTGTACATGTGGGATCAGAGCTACGTGAAGCTGTACGTGGTGCACTTCATCTCTGATGACTGAGACAGTGTTTTGATGGTATTCTGATGGTGTTTTGATGGTATTCTGATGGTGTTTTGATGGTTTTCTTAGGGTGTTGTGATGGTATTCTGATGGTGTTTTGACAGTATTCTGAGGGTGTTTTGATGGTATTCTGATGGTGATTTAATGGTATTCTGGTGGTGTTTTGACGGAATTCTGAGGGTGTTGTGATGGTATTCTGATGGTGTTTTGACAGTATTCTGAGGGTGTTTTGATGGTATTCTGAGGGTGTTTTGATGGTATTCTGATTAAAGATGGGCAGCTTTTGTATCAGATCATCTTAAAGGGCTTAAAGATGACCAGCACTTGTGAATATTATGGTTATTTTTTATTTATAATATGTACGGCTTCTCTTTAGTTTTATTCCATCTCAACAAGGACTATTTTCTAATGGCTTTTTGTAACTGCTGGCTGGGATAAAACAAAACACCCTTTTTGTGAGTGCTGTTAAATGTTTTGTTTAAATTGGATTACAGCTTCCAAAGATGCACACACTGTACCTTTTCCAATTTACAGTTTAACTGAATAAGGGCTTATCAGAGTAAGAAATAGATCATTATAATACAATTGTTGTACTGTTTTCCATATGAGATCGTGGAATTATCTTTTTGTAAGGACACTTACTAACCGTTTGACCGATTTTGTTGGTTATATATTCTGTTTTTATGTGTCTCACTTGTATATATATTTATTTGGAAAATGTAACCCTTTTTTAAGGTCTACCCTGGAAACCTGGCTTTTTGTGGAGTTAATACTATTTATAGCTGTATTGTCCTTACTTGACTTTCCCTGTGACTGCATGACAAAATATGTATCAGAAATGCACTTCCATATTTACTTGGATCCTACCATGACCAGCATCCCTTGCAGAGAGCAAAATGTTTCAAAAATACCTATATTGGAAATCTGTACATATGTTTATTCCCGACAATGATATTTGCCGCTGCATGGTCTCTACTGATTATCATGTCTAGAGAAAGAAAATACAAAAACAAGCATCAAATCAACCTGATGAAATAAAAATAATTTATTCAACTTACAAAGGTAGAACTTTGACCACGGTAGAACAGCCTGCTATATATTCCTGTCTCTCCGGACTCTCTCTAGTTCTCTAGTCATAGCCTCCCCATGGTGAGCTTTAGATAGATATATGCTTTACTGTAGATACATGCAAAACACTTTACTTGAAGCACCTTTTTATGAAGTGTTAACATCTTATATAGACATTAATATCACCTTATAGATGTTATAGAGCATTATGAAGCATGTATAATAAAGCAAAACAAAGCTCAGTACCTTTTTGTAAGGCGCCTCGTGTGTTATTGCTTCACTGTGATGTTTTTAATGATGCTCTATGACTGCATCTATAAGGTGACCTATGAATGTTTATAAGGCATTATAAGGCTTCATAAGTATTAGCACTATAGACATGACAGAAGGTAGAATATGTAAACATAGATATCAGAGATGAGACGTGGTACCCAGAGGGAGGGAAGGAAACACACATCTGTTTAATAATAATACTTATAATAATAAAAACAATACACACATTTAACAAAAGATACAACTAATCCAGCCGGTATGATACAAAACAAAAAATAAAGTAAAATGCTTTCATGTTTGTACAAGCTGCTGTGGTATTTCATATATTTATATATATTAAAACTATTTAACTTTTTACTACTAGGCTAAATACAGCCAGACATTCATTTGTATATAACAGTAGTTTCTTTGTTCTTCCCATAGCCTATTCGTTTTGAAATAAACTTTTATAGTGTCCCCAGATTTGAGTGCAACTATCTATTCAATATGGATTTTATAACATTTGTAAAAACAATAACAGTACAGTAGTATCACCAAACACAAACCTATGCCATGTTGCACTATGTCCCAGTAAAATACAGTATTAACCCCTTACATTCCTAACGTAAAAGTTCACTATGTCCCAGTAAAATACAGTATTAACCCCTTACATTCCTAACGTAAAAGTTCACTATGTCCCAGTAAAATACAGTATTAACTCCTTACATTCCTAACGTAAAAGTTCACTATGTCCCAGTAAAATACAGTATTAACTCCTTACATTCCTAACGTAAAAGTTCACTATGTCCCAGTAAAATACAGTATTAACTCCTTACATTTCTAACGTAAAAGGCAAAAAGTTCAACACAAATAACAACAGTCTGCAAAGAAACAACCAACCAACCAACCAAAAACAAATAAGTAAATAGTTAAAATAAAAAAATGATTTTTTTTGTGCAAAAACAGAACCATACAGAACATAACAGACCCCATGTGTTTCATTCTTCTCGGGGAGGGGGGGGGGGGGGGGTGGTATTCAGTGGAACAGACAGATAATGAGACATATAGACTACACACAGTCACAGGATCAAAACACACCATCTTCCACACACAATGTTCTAGCAGTGAGACCGCTGCTGCCGCACAAACAGGCTTTTGACGGCAGGCGGGGCAGGCGTGATCACATCACTAGGCTCAATCAATCCATCGAGTAGGCTAGCGAGTCACTGGGCAGCCAGTGTTATGGGATGGGGTCACCATGGGGATAATGTGCCATTAACAGTGAGATAAGCCAGGGAATTAAGAGGATAAAACCATTGAAACAAAATGCAGATCCAACAACTTTTGAGTCACACCAGACCACTGACTGACTGACTAAAGGAACCACAGTGCTGGTTAAAAGTAGATGCTAAGAGAGGTTTTCAGCTTTTGGGCACAAAATGACAACAGATACACACTATTTTAAAGTTTTCAGCACTTGTACAGAGCACTATCATATCAATAAACCGTGTGATTGCACCGCTTAAAACGAGAACAGGAAGTCATGCATAGCTTTCATATGGACTGACACACTCGTAAAAGTCCAGCAGCCGCTTTTAAAATGACAGGAAATCTAACTGTTAAAATCAAGTATGGAACCTGTTGCTTTTACGTTTTAATACACACTTTCAGGCTTTGGGGAAGAAAAAATAATTTGCAGGTCAATTTAACTTTTCTGATACGATTTCCGCTAGGTAAAGTCGTACCGTACAGTACACTCTCTTTCGCTCTCTCAAAGCTGCTGAAAACTTGGTCATCTCTCAACCTTTCACCTCTACGTCACTCAAATCATTAACGCCACCTCAACTCAAACTACAGAATATCCAGTAGTGTAATATCCTTAGTGATCTATCTGTAAACCTTTCCCCCCAATCTCTCTTTGTCGCTCTCACACAAGTCTAGGCTCTGTACACAATGTTATACTAGTGTAAGAAAGTTTGGTTCATCTTTCAACCGTACTCCTTCCTATCCACTGGCATTCAGACAGAGAACTTTCAGGTATTTACGTTTCTACAAGAGGTTGAATATTCTAGTGAAAGTTTGGTTATCTTTTCAACGTTCCACCACTAACCAACCAGATGAGCTCTCTACAGACAGTACAGGAAGTGGTTTAGGGGTCTACAGAATGTCGAAGATGCTAGCGGGGATGTTGTAGCGGTCGGGTAGAACCCTCATCTTGAGCGTTCCGTCGGCGCCGCAGGTGAATATGCGGTTGCCGGGCCGGGTCTCCACCTGCATGACGCCCGCTCCGATGTTCCGGAAGATGGACTGCTTGGCATGCTCTGTGCTAAACGAGTGCATGAGGCCTTGGCCTGCCAGCTTCCACACCTGGAGGAGAAGGAGAGGGGGAGGGAAGGAGGGAGAGAAAGGTAAAGAGAAAGGCAATGATCAATACATTTATGGAATTATATTATGTATTTCACAGGTCAATCATGTGACTTAAATACATATTTGAACACATTTGGGCATTGAAACAGAGCCACAAGCACCAGTTAGAGAGCACAGGTTAATGGTTGGCAGGGTTGGGAACAATTCCATTTCAATTCAGGAAGATTCAAATTCCATTTTCCTCATTAAAAAGGAAAATCACCTTCATGTTCCCCTCAGCTGAGCCGGTTACGAAGAAGTCTTCGGAGGCGTCGAGTGCCAGGGCTTTGACGGCTGAGTCGTGGGCCTGGAAGGTGTGTAGGAGCTGTCTCTGTCGGATGTCAAACACACACACAAAGCCCTTCCTGCCTCCCGAGATCAACAGCTGCTGCTTGGGAGCGTACTGCAACACCGTCGCACCGTTCTCATGGCACGGGAAGGCTGGAGAGACACACAGATTATATTTCTACTATGAGTTATGAGTGACAACACTAATACAGGGGAGAGTGGGGTAAGTTGAGCCAAAAGGTAAGTTGAGCCACCCCTTGTTTCTAGGAAACCATACACAAAATTAATAATTTGACCAAACATTTAGGAAGAGGACATCATTTCATGGAGTCTGTGAAAGAAGAAACCACATGGAAAAAGTGGTAAGCAAGTTAGTGAAAATCTGTTTTTTTGGACCGAAGTCAAATTCATTTATTGTGTTAGAGGTTTCATGATGCTTGTATCTAAACCAAAGTAGATCATTTTAAGATTGTTCCATACATCAGTTGGGCTCTCTATAAGCTTCAATATGAGGTCCTAAACCTAGCATGAAAGTGCATCCTTGTAGCTGTGTGGGCTAATATAGTCAAAATGTTTGTCTTGGGGTATTTAAGTCAAACCATTTTAAGTCAATGGTTGAGCCAATGGCAAGTTGAGCAAATTGAAGTGTTTTATTTCCAGGCATAACGCATGGTAGTATCGCTGGGATATGAGGTAACACCAGGGCCTGACCTATGTTAAAAGTGTTAAAACAAGTACAAAGTGTTAGGTGTTAAGCCCATGTTAAAATATGCTTATAATGATTAAAAGACAAACAAGTGATGAATTGTGATGAATTGTGTTCAGGAAATAAAGATAGACATGGTTTACAAAGGTAGTGGTAATATTTCATTCAGTACAGAAATGTGTAGGCAGCTCAACTTACCCTGTCCCTATGCTAGACTTACTGCATAACCCAGGGTAAATTGTGCCAAGAGAACACTTTTTTTCAAATCTGTAACACATACACAATCCATGTCTAAATAGTCTCAAGGCTTTAAAATAATTCTTTAACCTGTCTCCTCCCCTTCATCTACACTGATTGAAGTGGATTTAACAAGTGACATCAATATGGGATCATAGCTTTCACCTGGATTCACCTGGTCAGTCCATGTCATGGAAAGAGCAGGTGATCCTAATGTTTTGTACACTCAGTGTAGACACCAAGGTAAAACAAAGGAGAATTCACAGTTTGCTGTCATTTCAGCTGCTTGATGTGATTGTGTGTTAGCTTTAGGTAGCTAGCTAGTAAAGGAGAAGTAACGTCGTTAGCCTAGCTATCCTCCATAACTATATGATTAACTGGACAAGCAACTGTTTTTTGTCTATTTATACATTATTTATCAAATCATTATTTGCTGAAGTTCTTGTCTCTTGTCATCATTGAACCTCTGCTAGCTACATGCTTCGCCTCTGGTCTAAGAACAGCCCTTAGTCGGGAGTTATCACGCGATAATCCCAGAGTTCCAATGGCTTATTGTTTCAATATCTTTGTTAAAAAGAACACTATATTTCCCTTGACGGAGTGATGCTGAATGTAAAACATGTCTCAACTTACCCCACTCTCCTCTACTTTGTTTGGTCAAGTAAAGATTGGACCTGACCACCTAATCTTTCACGCAATGGAGACACAATTGTGGCATCTAACTTTTTAATTTGACTGGTTTTATCTACTGTGGTAACTTTGTATGTTCATTATTGGTGGACTGAAATTAAACCTTGAATACAACTACATCTTACCATGCACCATGGTGTTACTAGGTGAAATAAGAGTGTCCCACAGGCATACATTTCTGGAGGAGGAAAGAGAAAAAGAATAACATTAGTCATTGGTGTTACTGTTATGATGGTGTTGAGACTGGTGTAGCTTTGATATGTAATGTTCATACTGACCTGCTGTCGTTGGACTGTCCTGCCGTGTGTGTGTGTGTGTGTGTGTGTGTGTGTGTGTGTGTGTGTGTGTGTGTGTGTGTGCGCGCGCAGTGTAGTAACCTGCTGTCATTGGACTGTCCTGCCGTAGCGATGAGACTGGAGGAAGTGATGAAGGCAAAATCACCACAGGTCTTAGAGTGGCACTGCCAACTCTACAGAGAGACAAAGAGAGAGAGAGAGAGACAGATAGAGAGAGAGAGAGAGAGAGAGAGAGAGAGCGACAGAGACACAGAGACACAGAGACACACAGAGAGAGAGAGAGAGAGAGAGAGAGAGAGAGAGAGAGAGAGAGAGAGAGAGAGAGAGAGAGAGAGAGAGAGAGAGAGAGAGGAAGGGAGATAGAAGGTTGTGTTAGCCTCAGCCAAGCAGACAGAGAGGTAATCAATCACTCCCAATCGCTCACTCACTCACGCACACACGCCCACTCTCACTCACCCACCCGGTGTAAAATCCTCAAACCTAATCCTTCAAGCACCAGTGTGTTACGTACCACGTAGGGCTTGGGGTTGGAGGAGGTCTGGTTGACCTGCCACAGACTGAGGAAGCCCTCTCCATCAGCTACACCACACTGGAGAGACAGACAGACAGAGACAGAGAGAGAGACAGGCAGAGAGAGAGAGAGAGAGAGAGAGAGAGACAGAGAGAGAGAGAGAGAGAGAGAGAGAGAGAGACATATATATGTATACGACTGCCATAGCCTGAGTGACATCCCATGACCATTAATTCCCTGAAGTATTTACATTGTATATAACTGACAGTAATACATAGTGGAACCGTCATCAATGTAAGTTTTGTTGTTTATTTATTACACATTCTTTCTTTTTCTTTTTATAATCATATTTTTATTTCATTACATTTATTGACTGAAGATTACAAAACAGCAGTAGTGTTGTACCTGTATACATGATTATAAGTACTATTATTATTACTCCTAATGAAATTAACTATATTTCATTTACCTCATTGCATTGTACTGTATTTACTGAAATGCTGTATAACTATACTGCTTTGTCAATATCTACAAATTGTATTTCATGCCAATAAGCAATCTGAATTTGAATGAGACAGAGACAGACAAAGAGAGAGACAGAGAGAGAGAGAGACAGAGAGAGAGGGAGAAAGAGAGAGACAGAGAGAGAGGGAGAAAGAGAGAGACAGAGAGAGAGAGAGACAGAGCGACAGATAGATAGAGAGACAGAGACAGAGACAGAGACAGATACAGAGACAGAGACAGAGACAGAGACAGAGACAGAGACAGAGACAGAGACAGAGACAGACAGACAGACAGACAGAGAGACAGAGAGACAGAGAGACAGAGAATAGCCTTGCTATGGAGAGAGGCCGCCATTGGCAGACCTGGCTCTCAAGAGAAGACAGGCTATGTGCCCACTGCCCACAAAATGAGGTGGAAACCGAGCTGCACTTCCTAACCTCCTGCCAACTGTATGACCATATTAGAGACACATATTTCCCTCAGATTACACAGATCCACAAAGAATTTGAAACCAAATCCAATCTTGATAAATTCCCATATAATTTTGGTGAAATACCACAGTGTGCAATCACAGCAGCAAGTTTTGTGACCTGTTGCCATAAGAAAAGGGCAACCAGTGAAGAACAAACACCATTCTAAATACAACTGATATGTATGTTTATTTGTTTTCCCTTTCATACCTCAACTATTTGCACATTGTTACAACACTGTACACAGACAATAATATAACATTTGAAATGTCTCTATTCTTTTTAAATATTTGTGAGTGTAATGTTTACTGATAATTTTTGATTGCTTATTTCCCTTGTTTATTTCACTTGCTTTGGCAATTTAAACATATGTTTCCCATGCCAATAAAGCCCTTTTGAACAGAGAGAGACAGAGAGAGAGATACAGGCAGAGAGAGAGAGAGATACAGGCAGAGAGAGGGAGAGAGAGAGAGAGAGAGAGAGAGAGAGAGAGAGAGAGAGAGAGAGAGAGAGAGATACAGGCAGAGAGAGAGAGAGAGACAGAGAGAGAGAGAGAGAGAGAGAGAGAGAGAGAGAGAGAGAGAGAGAGAGAGAGAGAGAGAGAGAGAGAAGAGAGAGAGTGTGAGAGAGATGTGAAGAGAGAGAGAGTGTGTGAGAGAGAGAGTGTGTGAGAAAAAGAGATGTGTGAGAGAGAGAGTGTGTGAGAGAGAGAGTGTCTGTGTGGACCTTGTTTCCCTGTGAGTTGAAGTAGAGGCGTGTGACTCTGGCGTTGCCTGCCTGTCTGAAGCAGATGAGTTGCTGCGGCCTGTTCCACTCAAACATACGGACACTGCCGTCCTGAGCCCCAGTCATATCTAACACACACACAGAAACATTTGTAAATGTTTTAAATTCTCCTATTTGAAGGAATAACCAGCCATTCAGACAGAGTTGTGTACAGGCCATCAGTATACTGTATAGTACACATACTGTATATAATATAGTGTGGTATATGGTACTGTATATAATATAGCAGTAGTATATGGTACTGTATATAATATAGCAGTGGTATATGGTACTGTATATAATATAGCAGTGGTATATGGTACTGTATATAATATAGCAGTGGTATATGGTACTGTATATAATATAGTAGTGGTATATGGTACTGTATATAATATAGTAGTGGTATACTGTATGTAATATAGTAGTGATATATGGTACTATATATAATATAGTAGTGGTATACTGTATATAATATAGTAGTGGTATACTGTACATAATATGGTCCTCTGTAGCTCAGCTGGTAGAGCACGGCGCTTGTAACGCCAAGGTAGTGGGTTCGATCCCCGGGACCACCCATACACAAAAATGTATGCACGCATGACTGTAAGTCGCTTTGGATAAAAGCGTCTGCTAAATGGCATATTATTATTATTATTATTATTATTATTATTATAATATAGTAGTGGTATACTGTATATAATATAGTAGTGGTATACTATATATAATATAGCAGTGGTATACTGTATATAATATAGTAGTGGTATACTGTATATAATATAGTAGTGGTATACTGTATATAATACAGTATTGGTATATGGTACTACATACATTATATGATACTTACAGTACTGGAATATGGGGTGGGAGGTCATTCTCTTGACATTGTTCAGGTTCCTCTTCATAATCTGAAAAACAACAACATTTAAAATAGCATAATACACCATGAAAGAACCCCTGCCCAAAATGTCATTTGAAACCTCGGTCTTTAAAACGTTCACTCAATCCACAGTGATGGCCAACGCTACGGACTTCAGTACTCAACTAGGACATTTCTTTTAAACTAAAACTAAACAGCTCTGATGAAGGCCAACAGGCCGATACGTCAGCTTCATAAACTGAAGTGATACTGGCCAGAGCAGTGTGTAGGTCTTTCTTTTAGTTCACTAAAACTACTCTACAACCTTTCACTCTAAAAGGGGATTCATCATCTGAAGTGGGACCTATTTTACACTTATCGTATAAGCCAACGACACTGAACGACAGTATGTCTTTCCATACAGTTTGGCCTTACCAAGACTTACCACCTAGAATAGGACATATTTATACTTCTGGTACAAGGCAACAGTACTCCATATTGACTGTAGCATGAAGAATTATCACTTGAACAGGGACATATTTGAGAACTGGGTGATGTGGTGACGCAGGTCTGTACCTTGGGCAGCCGAGGGGACGGTGTGAGCGCTGTGTATCTGTATGTTGATACTCTCATACAAACACACACACTGCCTATCTCTGGTAACATAGACTCATCTACCAGCCTGTTTAGTCCTCATCTCTCTGTCTGTTTGGCCTGAGATAGATAACCAGTGTCATATATTCACTGGACTGACTAAGTCCAGCTAGGGGGCCTCAGTTCAGAGACAGAGAGCGAGAGCGAGGAATAGGGTGAGACAACGACGTCTAACATTAAAGAAGAACGTTGGTCTGCTTGCTTTAAACCGTACTGTCTTACAGTACTCTGATGTGCTCCCCAGAACAATGTGGGGAGAGACTATAGGGATTTCATAATAAACAGACAGGACCTTGAGCTTAGAGTGGTGAGCTGTGAGCCAGACAGGCTGGGACGGAGGCTTCACTCCTGAGTACGGTGTCCCTCTACTGGTCAGTACACACTACTACATCTCTCACTGGACTACACCGCACTGACAAGTTCCAAGTAAATGGAAAGGGTGAAAGGGTGATACCTAGTCAGTTGCACAACTGAATGCATTCAACCAAAATGTGTCTTGCACATTTAACCCAACCCCTCTGAATCAGAGAGGTGCGGGGGGAATGCCTTAATCGACGTCCACGTCATTGGCGCCCGGGGAACAGTTGTTGTTGGGGGTTAACTGCCTTGCTCAAGGGCAGAACGGTAGATTTGTCCACCTTGCCGGCTTGGCGATTCGAACCAGCGACCTTTCGGTTACTGGCCAAAAGCTCTAACCACTAGGCTACCTGCCAGCCCATGTGATGTAATGCTGTATTACCTCTGTTGTGGAGGATGTGGGTGTTAGTGTGTGTGTGTGTGTGTGAGAGAGTGGAGGATGTTTTGTGTGTGTGTGCAGGATGTTTGTGTGTGTAAGCACTCATGTGTGTGTATGTGTGCATGTGTGTATGTATGTGTGTGTGTTGTACCACACTAGCTCCCATGCTGGTCTGCCCACTCCCCAGCCAGGGCATGGATGCGGAGGCTGCCATGTCTTTGGGGAGGAAGTGGGACGGGGTAGAGGAGGCCTGGGCGATGTTAGTGTGGGAAGAACGGTATTCCACGTCATCAGAACTGAGGGGAGAGAAAGAAGCACAACACAACCATAAAACAACCATAAGAGTGTGCGTGTGTGTGTGTGCGTGTGTGTGTGTAACAGTGTACTGACCTGCGTGACTCCTTGTCAAAGTCCTCTCCTATCCAGCTGTAGGGCTGAGCAGCTAACAGAGTGGACACATCTACCTCCTGCACGTCATGAGTGGACGCCAGCACTATCTCATTGGTGTTAGCCTGGAGGGGGAGGAGAGAGGAGGGAGGAGAGGGGAGGGAGGGAGGAGGAGAGGGGAGGGAGGGAGGGAGGGAGGAGAGGGGAGGGAGGGAGGGAGGGAGGAGAGGGGAGGGAGGGAGGGAGAGAAGAGAGGCCAGTAAATATATCCCACAATCTGAAGGAGTAGAACGGACATTCCAATGTAAAGAAACATTTAGATGTGGTGTACTGTGTGTTAACCCCCCTTAGGTCAATGTCCACGCCCCCGTGGAAATCTAATTAGCATAATAAATAAAAAACCATAAAAATCTGTCATTTTAAGCTAGAGATACCTGTCTCAATCCACCGCATCCGCCTATGTAACACTTCCGCATTTGGGGTGAAAGGTGGCAGAGCTAGAGCGGTGTTTGTCAGACCATCAGACCCGAAAATCGGTCTTCTCACAAAATCGTCTGTAGCGTCGGAACGGTTTGGCCTAAAAACCCTCTATGGATGAGACTCTCATGAACACGATGGTGTTCTCCGTTTTGGTCTACGACCCCCACAAGTGTCTTGGGACTCGTCTGAAGTCGGTACAGCCAATCTGCCAACTTCTGTCTGTAGCGTCCGAACAGTTTGGTCTACACACTTATATGACCCCTCTGTGTAAAGGTGAGACTCTCACCAACACGTATATGTCGGTTGTTTTGACTCATCTGAAGGTCCCCCGGTACCAGTTGAAAAAATGTATGGAAGTATATATGGAGACAGAGCTTAGACTCTGTTAACTGGAGGCCTTATTGGCCAGACTAATGGAATACACTCTACTCATTTATCTCTATGGTGTCCAACTCAAAAACCTGCCAAACATGGCACCTGAAAATGGGAAACTACATCAAATGGGAAAGCTTTGAGTGTGTGTGTGTACATGTGCGCGCCTGTGTGTGTGTGTTTGTGTGCACTGCAGACGTCTCTCACCCTGTTGATGGCGAAGGCCATGATGATGTCAGACTCCTTGTGGATGATCTTAGCATTCCTTCCTGGGTAGCCTAAGTCTCCCTCCACCTGGAACACATTATCACAGCACCCAGCATCATTTAGTACACCTGGTACAGATATACTGTACACAGCCACACAATATCTTAGCATACACAATCGCTTACTACACCTTTTTACATACACACACACAGCCACAACACACACTAGCGTTCACAACACACCTACACTGACACACAGCCATGCACAGCAGTGGCACAGTGAGCGCTCAGTGAGAACATGCAGGTTAGGTCCATGTGACACCTCTCTGTCAGAGCTGGGAGAGGGGCTGGAATAGGTCATTATTACAGAGGGAGGGAGGAGAGTATTTAGGAAGAGATGAAGAGGAAGAATGAAAGTCCAGCTATAGAAGGACTGACGAGACAGATAGAGACAGACAGTGTGTTAGTGGGGGTAGAGACAGACAGTGTGTTAGTGGGGGTAGAGACAGACAGTGTGTTAGTGGGGGTAGAGACAGACAGTGTGTTAGTGGGGGTAGAGACGGACAGTCTGTTAGTGGGGGTAGAGACGGACAGTCTGTTAGTGGGGGTAGAGACGGACAGTCTGTTAGTGGGGGTAGAGACGGACAGTCTGTTAGTGGGGGTAGAGACCGACAGTCTGTTAGTGGGGGTAGAGACGGACAGTGTGTTAGTGGGGGTAGAGACAGACAGTGTGTTAGTGGGGGTAGAGACAGACAGTGTGTTAGTGGGGGTAGAGACAGACAGTGTGTTAGTGGGGGTAGAGACAGACAGTCTGTTAGTAGGGGTAGAGACAGACAGTCTGTTAGTGGGGGTAAAGACAGACAGTGTGTTAGTGGGGGTAGAGACGGACATTGTCGGTGGAGTGCGGTGATGAGATTAGTGGGTTAGTGAATGTGAGGTTAGGTAGTAGGTAAACTTTCCCAAAATTCCAAAGTTTTTCAGAAATCCTGGTTGAAGGACTGCAGATTCTTATTCCTTCCGGATTCCAGGAATCTTACAAACGTTATTTCTGGAAAAGCTGGCCATTTTGGGAAACCCTAGTAGGGTTGGGTTAGTGAGTAGTAATGGTGAGGTGAAGGTGTCCAGCGGTGATTAGACGGGAGACTTTCACAGCCCTGAGCAGGTACCAGTTCATACTGTACAGACAAACACCTTGATACTACCTTGTTGGACCTGAGAGCTCCAGATACACAGTTTGGGATGAGGGGATCCATATGGCCTTCAACATACTACACAGCACAACACACACACACAAACACAAATACAAATACAAATACACACACCACAACACACATGCACAAAACAAACAAAACATGAAATGAAGAAAACCAAAATGTAATGGTTGGCTGGATGGTAGATACACACACAGTCAGTGTGTCAATACGTCAATGAGGCAAAGGCTTCTCCCCACACAAACAATGTCCTATCACATGGTAACAGAGTGGAGTGGAGTGCTGGGGAGATAGGAGAGGTCTCTCTCTATGCAATGACAGTGGGTGGAGGGTGGGGCATGGTCTCAATGCCAAAGTTAAAATAAACACACCTTTGACATTAAAGAGGCTTGTTACTGGAAGTCAGGCATAAGGTTCCTCTTTTGTTTGAAATAACATCTTTAACTCTATACTCAAATCTCGACAAAGCAGGATCTATGTATGTGGTTATAATTTAGTTTAGAAAGGAGATGCGCTACATAAGATGTCTGTGTTCACTGTCTTAGTTAGTGGATGTCTGCAGACATGATAATGAACATTTTAATAATAATATTAATAATAGTGGTGGTGACAGTAGTAGTGATAGTGTGCAGACATCACAGAATTCTCTGTTCTTGATTACATAATACAAGGGCATCCAAACAATAATAATAACAACAGAAGTGTGTGTGTGTGTGTGTGTGTGTGTGTGTGTGTGTGTTATACACTACTCTTCAGAAGTTAAATTAATCGAGCCATAATGTACCAAAGAATTGTTTAAAATCCTAAATAATTATGGACCTTACTCAAAATATAGAATATATCAAATATACATCAATAGAATTTGGGGTTTGAAGAACTATTGTGGTGTTGTGAAGATGATTCTAAGGAAACGTCCAGATAGATAGATGATCTGTCTGACATGTTGCATGTTGTAGGAGAGGATGTACTGTAGGAGGTAACACTTCATCTTACACTTGTTTCTCAGTAGTTACCCGGTATGTATTCATTAAGAAGTTAAGTGCTAAACTGACACCTTTCTGAATCCACTTAATTCATCATTAACAAGTTAGGTGCTAAAAATGAGACGTTTCTGAATCCATCTTATGGAGTGGAGGAGAACGTTTCCAATCAATCCTAAAGAAGACAACAAGTAACATCTAGGTTTGAAATATAGAATTACCATTAGACTTTAATGTGTAAGCAATAATCAGGTAAATAGCGGTAGTGCAAAAATAAAGGATACCTGATGTATCAGAATAGACATGGTGTAGGTGTAGGGGAAGTGGAGGGCCAGACAGACAGACAGATTGTACCAGGGGTCCAGTTTAGCTCATTACCTCGCTCTGCTTCCTCTTCTTAGTGAAGATGTAGCGAATCAGAGTCTCCTGAAGAACTTCCTGTTTCACCAGGTAGTGCCAGAGACGCCTCGCAGGGAACGACATGTGGTTCTTATTCCTGGAAGACAAGAGACACACACAGAAACATGTGAGAACATGAGTGTGTGTGTGTGTGTGTGTGCGAGGGTTTGCATGTGTGTTAATGCATACACACACATATATATATATATACACACATTTATATTTTAGTCATTTAGCAGACGCTCTTATCCAGAGCGACTTACAGTTAGTGAGTGCATACATTAATACTTTTTTCATACTGGCCCCCCGTGGGAATCGAACCCACAACCCTGGCGTTGCAAACGCCAAGCTCTACCAACTGAGCTACACACACATATACACACACACACACACACACACACACACATACATACATACATATATATATATATATATATATATATATATACACACATACTACTCAAAAAAATAAAGGGAACACTAAAATAACATATCCTAGATCTGAATGAATGAAATCATCTTATTAAATACTTTTTTCTTTACATAGTTGAATGTGCTGACAACAAAATCACACAAAAATTATCAATGGAAATCAAATTTATCAACCCATGGAGGTCTGGATTTGGAGTCACACTCAAAATGAAAGTGGAAAACCACACTACAGGCTGATCCAACTTTGATGTAATGTCCTTAAAACAAGTCAAAATTAGGCTCAGTAGTGTGTGTGGCCTCCACGTGCCTGTATGACCTCCGTACAACGCCTGGGCATGCTCCTGATGTGGTGGCGGATGGTCTCCTGAGGGATCTCCTCCCAGACCTGGACTAAAGCATCCGCCAACTCCTGGACAGTCTGTGGTGCAACGTGGCGTTGGTGGATGGAGTGAGACATGATGTCCCAGATGTGCTCAATTGGATTCAGGTCTGGGGAACGGGCGGGCCAGTCCATAGCATCAATGCCTTCCTCTTGCAGGAACTGCTGACACACTCCAGCCACATGAGGTCTAGCATTGTCTTGCATTAGGAGGAACCCAGGGCCAACCGCACCAGCATATGGTCTCACAAGGGGTCTGAGGATCTCATCTCGGTACCTAATGGCAGTCAGGCTACCTCTGGCAAGCACATGGAGGGCTGTGCGGCCCCCCAAAGAAATGCCACCCCACACCATGACTGACCCACCGCCAAACCGGTCATGCTGGAGGATGTTGCAGGCAGCAGAACGTTCTCCACGGCGTCTCCAGACTCTGTCACATGTGCTCAGTGTGAACCTGCTTACATCTGTGAAGAGCACAGGGCGCCAGTGGTGAATTTGCCAATCTTGGTGTTCTCTGGCAAATGCTAAACGTCCTGCACGGTGTTGGGCTGTAAGCTCAACCCCCTCCTGTGGACGTCGGGCCCTCATACCACCCTCATGGAGTCTGTTTCTGACCGTTTGAGCAGACACATGCACATTTGTGGCCTGCTGGAGGTCATTTTGCAGGGCTCTGGCAGTGCTCCTCCTGCTCCTCCTTGCACAAAGGCGGAGGTAGCGGTCCTGCTGCTGGGTTGTTGCCCTCCTACGGCCTCCTCCACGTCTCCTGATGTACTGGCCTGTCTCCTGGTAGCGCCTCCATGCTCTGGACACTACGCTGACAGACACAGCAAACCTTCTTGCCACAGCTCACATTGATGTGCCATCCTGGATGAGCTGCACTAGCTGAGCCACTTGTGTCGGTTGTAGACTCCGTCTCATGCTACCACTAGAGTGAAAGCACCGCCAGCATTCAAAAGTGACCAAAACATCAGCCAGGAAGCATAGGAACTGAGAAGTGGTCTGTGGTCACCACCTGCAAAACCAGTCATTTATTGGGGGTGTCTTGCTAATTGCCTATAATTTCCACCTGTTGTCTATTCCATTTGCACAACAGCATGTGAAATGTATTGTCAATCAGTGTTGCTTCCTAAGTGGACAGTTTGATTTCACAGAAGTGTGATTGACTTGGAGTTACATTGTGTTGTTTAAGTGTTCCCTTTATTTTTTTGAGCAGTGTATATATACACAGTGCATTCGTAAAGTATTCAGACCCCTTGACTTTTTCCACAAATCCTCATCAATATACACACAATACCACATAATGACAAAAAACAGAAATACCTTATTTACATAAGTATTCAAACCCTTTGCTATGAGACTCGAAATTGAGCTCAGGTGCATCCTGTTTCCATTGATCATCCTTGAGATGTTTCTACAACTTCATTGGAGTCCACCTGTGGTAAATTCAATTGATTGAACATGATTTGGAAAGACACACACCAGTCTATATAATGTCCCACAGTTGACAGTTCATGTCAGAGAAAAAACCAAACCATGAGGCCGAAGGAATTGTCCGTAGTGCTCCGAGACAGGATTGTGTCAAGGCACATATCTGGGGAAGGGTACCAAAACATGTCTGCAGCATTGAAGGTCCCCAAGAACACAGTGGCCTCCATCCTTCTTAAATGGATTAAGTTTGGAACCACCAAGACTCATACTAGAGCTGGCCGCCCGGCCAAACTGAGCAATCGGGGGTGAAGGGCCTTGGTCAGGGAGGTGACCAAGAACCCGATGGTCACTCTGACAGAGCTCCAGAGTTCTTCTGTGGAGATGGGAGAACCTTCCAGAAGGACAACCATCTCTTCAACACTCCACCAATCAGGCCTTTATGGTAGAGTGGCCAGACAGAAGCCACTCCTCAGTAAAAGGCACATGACAGCGCGCTTGGAATTTACCAAAAGGCACCTAAAGACTCTCAGATCATGAGAAACAAGATTTTCTGGTCTGATGAAACCAAGATTGAATTCTTTGGCCTGAATGTCAAGCGTCACGTCTGGAGGAAACCTGGCACCATCCCTACGGTGAAGCATGGTGGTGGCAGCATCATGCTGTGGGGATGTTTATCAGCAGGCAGGGACTGAGAGACTAGTCAGGATCGAGGGAAAGATGAATGGAGCAAAGTACAGAGAGATCTGCTCCAGAGCGCTCAGGACCTCAGACTGGGGTGAAGGTTCACCTTCCAACAGGACAACGACCCTAAGCACACAACCAAGATAATGCAAGAGTGGCTTCGGGACAACTTTCTGAACGTCCTTGAGTGGCCCAACCAGAGCCTAGACTTGAACCCGATCAAACATCTCTAGAGACCTGAAAATAGCTGTGCAGCGACGCTCCCCATCCAACCTAACAGAGCTTGAGAGGATCTGCAGAGAAGAATGGAAGAAACTCCCAAAAAACAGGTGTGCCAAGCTTGTAGCGTCATACCCAAGAAGAGTCATAGCTGTAATCGCTGCCAAAGGTGCTTCAACAAATTACTGAGTAAAGGGTCTGAATACTTATGTAAATGTCATATTTCAGTTATTGTTGTTTTTATACATTTGCAAACATTTCTGAAAACCTGTTTTTGCTATGTCATTATGAAGTATTGTGTGTAGATTGATGAGGGAAAAAACGTTTTAATCAATTTTAGAATAAGGCTGTAACGTAACAAAATGTGGAAAAAGTCAAGGGGTCTGAATACTTTCTGAAGGTATGTGTCTGTCTGTGTACTATGCATCTGTGTGTATGTAATAATACTCACTTGAAAGGTGTGTTGTCAGGCTCCAGCATGGCCTTCTGTCTCAGTATGGCGGGTCCCCCTCCTGTGCTGAGGTCAGTGGGGTAGGTGTTAATGTAGTTGGGAGGAGGACCATCAAACTTATTCATCCTCTCCTGGAGCATGGTCTCCCAGTTCTCTAGTGTCTTCAGCACAGCATTACCCAGAGGAGACGTCACCGGCAGGTCTGATGGAGGGAGGAGAGGAGGATAGGAGGAAGACAAACAGTGTTTTGGTTGTGCCGCTCGAGTGTGTGTGTGTGTGTGTGTGTGTGTGTGTGTTTGTTAGGGTTGAATATTTTCCCGGTATTTTACAAATAAATCACTTATATCCCGGGTAACCCGGAATTCCCCCCAAAACCGGAATGTCATTCAAAAGCATTATAAAGTATATAAATAGGCCTATGTCTGGATTTGATTTGAGCTTTGATTGAAAATTCAAGCCGGATGCCACCTGACCCTGATGAGCCATACATTAAATATATTTGATGAGCCTTACATTAAAGACATTTAATGAGCCCAAGCCCAAAAAAGCTAAAATGATTGTGCCCTTATCCAATATGATATAGGCTACTGCACATTACACACGACAGAAAAACATAAAAGCCCATAGATGCAGCTAGCTATATGCTCTCTTGGGTAAATAAATGAAACTATATCCAGTAGGCTAATCTTTTTGAGTGTGAAGTGTATTACTGTACTGTATTATATGGACTGGAGTTACGCACATCGTTCAAACCATGATAAAGCAGAATAGAACATGTGATTCTGGTGCAGCACATGCAGCCTACAAAGTTACAAGTACAGGCTAGCGAATTTAGGGCCTATTTGTATAATTAGTAGGCTGATGCATATATACCTTTCATAATATTTCCCCTAATGTTATTAGCATTACCTCCTCTTTCTCTCTCTATTGTTGCTTCATTCCTTCCTCGCTTTCAACAGTTAAATGAAATAAGTTTCGTTGTCCTTATCATCATTCTAATGACATCCTTGAATAATACTGGACTAGAAGAGATGCTGAAGGATTTCACTTCTCTTCACGAAGATTGAATGGTTATGTGTCTGAATAAATAACTGCTATAGCCTAACGCCATCGCACGTTCGCTCTTCTTTCAAACTACCCATGAGATCTATTGGCTGCTGTATTTAACATTCAGCCATCAAGAGTTTGCGTGCACTGGTGCACTGATTTAAAGCAACGATATTTGAGTGATAGGCTGTTTTAAAACTGCAGCTGCAATTAAAAAAATACATCTTTACAATAACAACATAAGGTGACCCCCGAAAGCCAGATGGAGATGGGTAAAGTAGACGCACATTCGGTTTTATATTACTGTAGCAGAGACCATGCTGCAGCAAATGCAGGCCTACCTGTCACAAAAAAAAGTTAACATGATGAGATGATAGGTCTACATGCATTGTGAAATGCGCTCCATATTGAGATGGGCTGTCTGTCCCCACCCTGAGCGTTGATGATTCATCATGCAGAGGCCGTAGAGAAGCCAGATTTAGACATCTTATATAATTTAACAGTTCCATTTCACGCCATGCTGTTCATATAAATAATTTATTATAATTTACTGGTTTCTTGCAGTTATTTATCCCGGGTAAAGGGAGTGGTTTTGGGCGGTAAATCCCGGTAACCGGGTTCCCGCCATTCAACCCTAGCGTGTGTGGGTGGGTGTACCTATGAAGTCCAGTCCAGTGAGAGGGAGGAAGGTCTTGACGTTATGTAGAGCCAGTTTCACCATGACCAGACGGATCAGAGACCAACTACACACAGAGAGAGACAGAGAGAGGGAGAGAGAGAGAGAGAGAGAGAGAGGGAACAGCGAAGAGAGAGAGAGACACAGAGAGGAAGAGAAGAGAGAGAGAGAGAGAGAGAAGACATAGAGAGATGAAGAGAGGAGAGATACAGCTCTCTCTCTCTCTCTCTCTCGCTCCTCTCTCTCTCTCTCTCTCTTCTCTCTCGCTCGCTTCTCGCTGCCTTCTCTCTCTCCCTCTCTTTTCGTCTCTTTCATCTTCTCTTCTCTCTCTCTAGTCTCTCTTCCACTCGATAGAGATAGAGAGATTTCTTCCATATATCTGTAAACATCATAGACAGATATCTCTCGCTCTCTCGATCTCGCTTCTCATCCATATATCTGTCTCTCTCTCTCTATATCTCCTCCTCTCCTCGCTATGCTCTCTATCGCTCTCTCTCCGCTCTTCTAGCTCTCTCTCTCTCTTCTCTCCGTTGCTCTCCTCATCTGCTCTCTCTCGTCTTTCTCATCTCCCCTCTCTCTCTCTCTCTCTCTCGCTCTCTACTCTAGAGAGAGCTCTAGGGACCGAGACAGATCCAGATCCGATAGAACATAGACGAGACATATACAGAGACAGAGATACATGAGCATCCATCGATCAGTAGCAGCCAGAGACAGAACAGAAGAAACCGAGCCAGACAGAGACAACAGACATGAGATAATATATGCCAGAGAGAGAAGAGAGAGAGAGCGCGACAGAGAGACGAGAGATATATAGAGAGAGAGAGAGAGAGATGAGTAGAGAGGAGAGAGAGATAGAAGAGACCTAGATAGACCAATAGATACCAAGAGAGATATAGAAGAAGAAGAGATATAGAGAGACCATAACATAGTAGACAGATAACCTACGATACAGACTATACCTATATATAGATAGCTAGAATATGACATTAGAGAGAGACTGAGATACAGATAGAGAGAGCAGACAGAGAAAGAGACAGACGATACGAGATACGATGATATAAGAGAGATAATATATAGATATATCTTGATATATATAGAGAGATCCTACCATGAACATTACATGTAACATGTCTATGGGGGGTTAATCTTAGTAGAAAATACTCTGAACAATCAGTGCTCCATGGCCCAACACAAAGGGCTGTCCACAGCTGAACTCAACTTAGATGTCAAACAGGAAAAGGCACAACGATGACACACCTGTATGAGTTGGGGTCAGAGTGTTCAGTCATCTGTGTGTCAGAGAGGAAGGCATCATCATCATCGTCGTCGTCATCGCTCCTCCCCGCTCCCCGCTCTCATCCGATCCGAGTCATACAGAGCTATACAGAGCTCCACTGTCCTATATAGATAAGGTAAGGGGGGGGGCAGGAAAGGCTGGGGAGAAGAGGAGGAGGAGAGAAGAGAGAGAGGTGGAATAGAGGAGGGGGGAAGAAATAGGCATATATATAGAGATAATGGGGTCAAGATATAGATGGAAGAGAGTATGGAATATAGAGAGATATGATAGAAAGATATATTCTCATATTCTATTTAGAATATTATTGAGATCTATTTTATATACTACTGATAATATATATCTATATCTCGCTAGAGTCCTTATTTGTTTTTTTGTCTCCTTTGGATGTTTTTAAAATGCTGTAATGTACCAAACAAATGGTTTGTCAGTGAGCGTATGTATACAGTGATGTTGTGCGGAGCAGGAGCTGCATCATGCCTTACTTTGGCCACAAAGTAGTCCCACATGCTGAGCTCTGGAGGAATGAACTTCTCCCTGTATGCAGGTCTCTCTGCAGGGACGGGAGGGGGGGTGGCAGGGACCTCCTTTACTGGACGACCAGGAACCAGCATCCTCATATTAAACCTCCGTCTGAGTCTGTCCACATCCTCTGCCGGGGGAAGGGCCGGCACGGCTAGGGGAGGAGGGGATGGTGGGTGTGGGAGAGGAGGAGGTGGAGAGATTGTTAGTACATTGCAGTTTTTTTTATAGAAACATTTTTCCATGACTGCTGCCTTGTAAGAGATGAAGAGGAGTTGATCACTCATCATCGTCTTCATCACCTCGTAGAGCCCAGGAGAGGTTCGGGGGTACAGGAGGAAGGCACAGCACCAGGGTTTAGGCTCAATTTCATTTCAATTCAGGAAATAAACTGAATTGACTGAATTGATTACTGACTCCAGCAACCCTGCACAGCATTTGTGTTAGCATTAGGGCCCATCGTCTTCCTGGTCAGGTCACATGGTTATGGTAAACTCTGGGCTCAAGACATGGAGAGACACAGAAACACACACAGAGGAGAGTGGACACGACAGATACAGGACACACACGGTTTTACACAAACCTGGACCGTTATCCTGAGTGACTATCTCTGGAACCACTGAGACAAGAGACAAATGAATACAACAGCGTAAGACGCACACACACGACACACAAACACGAACGTACATCACACACACACACACACACAAGACACACAAACACGAACGTACAACACACACCACGTCAATCAACATAAAGCCATACCTCTAATACTATATCATGTAACAAACAAGGAGGACGTTGTGATGGTTTACGTCCTTCTAATATATCGTCTGCTGGTTAAGGCTTTGAGTGGGCAACAGGTAGCACACTTTTGGTTATTAACAGTTGATTTCTTCAACTCTACTTCTTAAAAGCCACTTTCCTCTCACTCTCCTTGTACCGCACTCTCTCCTCCTCTGTTCTATCCTCTCCACATCCTCTCCTCTACCAGCCTCTCTTCCTCCTCTCCTCTCCTCTCCAGCCTCTCTTCCTCTCCTCTCCTCTACCCCATGCCTCTCTTCCCGTCCTCTCCTTCCTCTAACCCGACCTCTCTTTCCTCCTCTCCTCTCACCAGCCTCTCTCTTCCCTCCTCTCCTCTCCCAAACCTCGTCTTCCCCCTCCTCTCCTTCCTCTACAGCCTCATCTTCCTCCTCGTCTCTCCACCTCACCCACCTCTTCCTCCTCTCCTCTACCAGCTCTCTTCCTCCTCTCCTCTCCTCTAATCAGCTCCTTCCTCCTCTCCCTCTCCGCTCTCTACCCTCCTCGCCACCTCCCTTCCATCCTCACAGCTCTCTCCTCGCCTCCTCTAACCAGCCTCTCTTCCTCCTCTCCTCTACCACCTCTCTCCTCTCTCCCTCCTCTTACCAGCCTCTCTTCTCTTTCCTCTCCCAGCCTCTCTTCCTCCCCCTCCCCTGCTCCTCTACCACCTCTTTTTCCTCCCTCTCTACCAGCCTCTCTTCCCTCCTCTCCTCTACCACCTCTCTTCTCCTCCTTCCTCGCCTCTCCTTTCTCTCCTTCGCTCTCCTCTCCTCCTTTCCTCCGCCCCTCCCTCTTCCTCCTTTCTCCCTCTCCTCTACCACCTCTCTTCCTCCTCTCCTTTCTCCTCTCCCAGCCTCTCTTCCTCCTTCCTCTCCTCTACCAGCCTCCTTCTCTTCCTCTCTCTCCAGCCTCTCTCCTCCTCTCCTCTCTCTACCAGCCTCTCTTCCTCCTCTCCTCTCCTCTACGCAGCCTCTCTTCCTCCTTTCCTCTCCCAGCCTCTCTTCCTCCTCTCCTCTCCTCTACCCCTCCTCTCTTCCTCCTCTCCTCTCCTCTACCAGCCTCTCTTCCTCCTCTCCTCTCCTCTACCAGCCTCTCTTCCTCCTCTCCTCTCCCAGACCCTCTTCCTCTCCTCTCCTCTCCCAGCCTCTCTTCCTCCTCTCCTCTACCAGCCTCTCTCCTCCTCTCCTCTCCTAGCCTCTCTTCCGCCTCTCCTCTACCAGCCTCTCTTCCTCCTCTCCTCTGCCTCTCTTCCTCCTCTCCTCTACCAGCCTCTCTTCCTCCTCTCCCAGACTCTCTTCTTCCTCCTCCTCTCCTCTCCCTCTCCCCCCCCCTCTTCCCCCTCTCCTCTCCCCTCCCAGCCTCTCTTCCTCCTCTCCTCTTCCTCTCCCACCACCTCTCTTCCTCCCTCCTCCCTCTCCTCTCCTCTACCAGCCTCTCTTCCTCCTCTCCTCTCCTCTACCCAGCCTCTCTTCCTCCTCTCCTCTCCTCTACCAGCCTCTCTTCCCTCTCCTCTCCTCTACCCAGCCTCTCTTCCTCCTCTCCTCTACCAGCCTCTCTTCTTCCTCTCCTCTCCAGCCTCTTCCTCTTCCTCCCTCTCCTCTCCTCTACCAGCCTCTCTTCCTCCTCTCCTCTCCTCTACCAGCCTCTCTTCCTCCTCTCCTCTCCTCTACCAGCCTCTCTTCCTCCTCTCCTCTCCTCTATCAGTCTCTCTTCTCTTCTCCCCTCCACACTTCTCCACTCCTCCCCCTTTCACCCACATCCTGAAAGAACACTTGGCTTCAAAGAAAAGTCTAAATGTGAACACAAAAGCATATCTATCTATTTGACACAATCTACTAATAATGTCTGATCACTGCAGGTTGTTTCCAAAATAGTATTCAGAAGCACTAACGTTCAGAATTTGTTTTTTGTCTACCACCACATCTAGTGAATAATAATAAATATGTTGAAGCACACAAACTATTTCAAGGCACCCAACTACAATACCACAATCACATGCTAATGGAGGGAACAACACAGTTACTATAGTACACCATCCCGGTTACTCCTGCTCCACACTAGATCACCCAGGCAGTGGAGGCTGGTGAGAGGAGGACGACTCATAATAATGGCTGGAATGGAGTTAATGGAATGGAATCAAACACATAGGAACCATTAATTCTGATCCAAACATTACTATAGAGCCCAGTTAGTGTACCTGGTTTAGCCTTAGTTAAGGCAGACCTATAGCCCAGTTAGTGTACCTGGTTTAGCCTTAGTTAAGGCAGACCTATAGCCCAGTGAGTGTACCTGGTTTAGCCTTAGTTAAGGCAGACCTATAGCCCAGTTAATGTACCTGGTTTAGACTTAGTTAAGGCAGACCTATAGCCCAGTGAGTTTACCTGGTTTAGCCTTAGTTCCTCTAAGTGCACAATATTACCAACTATTTAAATAAAATATTTAAAGGCACCTAACAACAATACCACAATCACATCCTAACTACCATAATAAAGGTGTAATACCACGTTTACTATGTATCCACCTTAGTTACAGCCCAGTTAGTGTACCTGGTTTAGACTTAGTTAAGGCAGACCTATAGCCCAGTGAGTTTACCTGGTTTAGCCTTAGTTAAGGCAGACCTATAGCCCAGTGAGTTTACATGGTTTACCCTTAGTTAAGGCAGACCTATAGCCCAGTGAGTGTACCTGGTTCAGCTTTAGTTAACCCAGGCCTGAAGCACAGTGAGTACCTGGTTAAACCTTACAGTGCATTTCCACATAACACAATGGGGGCGATGAAACAACGATGCCCCATTCATTTTCAATGTAGGGAAGTGAAGTGGGCGGGGGGACCGTTGGGCCAGGGAGCATGAACAGGGCAGGAATAAAGTTGGAGAAAGCTGAACTTTATGCAAATACTCTGCAATATACCAACGCTATTGACCAATCGAAGTTCACTATAGCTTCCACCCCCTACTGGATTGGCTGTTGATACCTAGCACTACCTAACGTGCTTGCTAGCACCCACATGAGGACGAAGCTAGCACGGCAACCCACATTTTCGTGTTAAGTGGAAATGCACTGTTAGTTAACCCAGGCCTAAAGCACAGTGAGTACCTGATTTAGCCTTAGTCCCTGAGTCAGGTTCAGAGGTCACTGACGATGACGAGTCCGTTCTAGCTTTACCTGCTGCTGCTGCTGCTGCTATGGTGACAGACAGACAGACAGACAGGGATGACACAATGAGATGAGAAGAAAAACACACACACCTGCACACAACACACACACCTGCACACACACCTGCACACACACACACCTGCACACACACACACAAACCTGCACACACACACACACAAAAACCTGCACACACACACGCCTGCACACACACACCCCCTGCACACACACCCCTGCACACACACCCCTGCACACACACACACCCCTGCACACACACACACACACACCCCTGCACACACACACACACACACACAACACACCACACTGCACACACACAACCACACACACAACCCCCACACCCTGCACACACACCTACACACACCAACACTCACACACACACCCCCTGCACACACACACACCCTGCACACACACAAACCCCACACACACCACCACCACACACAAACACACCCCTCACACAACACACCCCCCGCACACACACACACCCACCACACTGCCCACACCACACACCCCTGCACACACACACACACCCCTCCCACACACACACACACCCCTGCACACACACACACCCCTGCACACACACACACACACACACACCTGCACACACACACACACACACAACCATGAAGTTTTAATGAATAGTATCCCTGCAGAAAAGACTAGCTAACTTTCTGAGGAACACACACAGTGGGGAAAACCACATCAGCTGCATTTACTGCACTGCAATACAGCTTCAGCACCGCAAATTACCACGACAAGAACTCACTCTGCAAAACCAACTCTGTAGTCTATCACTGCACCCCAGCACTGCAAACCCACTGGAACTATGCTACTCACAGCTGGGTGCTGCTGTGTCCCCTGTATCAGTGTGGGGGGGCTGGGTGACACTGGGGGTGGAGGTAGGACCCTGCTCAGGACTACCTGCCTCAAAATCAGCTGGCACAGTGGAGAGGGGAGTGGGGAGAGGGAAGGATGAGTTATGTATACCTGAATAGACATGGGAGGGAGGAGGGGCTTGCGTCTGATCTCACAGCCTCAGGCATGAGTGGAAAAAAGGGGGGTGAAACGAGGGAGAGAGGGGGAGTAGGGAAGAGAGTGAGAGAGAGAGGTCAAGGTAAAAGGTCAAGTAGAATGTTACAACAGGGGACAGAGAGGACAGTGGAGAGAGATGAGGGGAGACAGAAAACAGAGGATAGAACACAAAGGATAAACGAAGGGGTAGAGGAGAGAGGTAGAGAGGAAGAGAGAGGTAGAGAGAGTAGCTCTGGGGTTACAAGCCGAGGGGTCTACTAAGTTTACCTGGAGTGACCTCGGCGTTCCGTTTGGGTTTGATTATGATTTTAGCCCCGCCCCCAAACACGGCCGCCCACATCTTGTTGCTGAGGGGGTGAGCGGCGAGGCGGAACAGCTCGTTGCCAGCGTGCGTGCCCAGCCCGTGGATGAGCAGGGACAGGTAAACCGCCACCACCGCCTCACACAGCAACACGTTGAGCTTGGGCTGGTCCTCACTCTGGGCTGACTGGACCAGAGCAATCAGAGAGGACACACCTAGAGGAGGGGGGAGAGAGAAAGACAAAAACAGAGAAAGGGGAGAGAGAGATGGAGAAGACAGAGAGAGAGAGAGAGAGAGAGTGAGAGAGGAGAGAGAGATGGGGAGGACAGAGAGAGAGTGAGAGAGAGGTAGAGATAGTATGATCCTATTAGAGCGATGTAGGCTAGACGATAGATCTCTAGAAGATCTTGGAGGCATGGACCTAGCTCGAGCGAGAGAGAGAAGAGATGAGGAGGATAGGACGAGAGAGAGTAGAGAGAGTATAGAGAGAGATGGGGAGGACAGGACAGAAGATGCGAGAAGGAGAAGAGGTAGAGTGGAGGGGGAGCAAGATGGTGAGAACAGAGAGAGAGTAGGAGAGAGAGGGGAGAGAGAGGAGAGAAGAGATGGAAGGATCAGAGAGGAGAGACGAGAAGAGAGGTAGAGAGAGAGAGGAGAGAGAGGGGGAGGACAGAGAGAGAGAGCGAGAGAGAGGTAGAGAGAGGAGAGAGAGAGATGGGAGGACAGAGAGAGGAAGAGAGAGAGAAGAGAGAGAGGGGAGAGGAGAGAGAGAGATGGAGGAAGAGAGAGAGAGGGAGAAGAGGAGGAGGAGATAGAGAGAGGAGGAGAGTAGGGAGACAGAGAAGAGAGGAGAGGAGAAGAGTGGAAGACGAGAGAAGTAGGTAGATGAGGAGAGAGAGATGGGGAGGACAGAGAGCAAGAGCGAGAGAGAGAGATGGGGAGGACAGAGAGAGAGTGAGAGAGAGAGAGAGAGAGTGAGAGAGAGCGGTTATACAGAGAAGATGAGAGAGAGGTTTAGAGCGAGGAGAGCGAGAGAGAGAGAGAGGGAGAGAGAGAGAGGGAGCGAGAGAGAGAGAGAGAGAGAGGAGAGGTAGAGAGAGGTAGAGAGAGGAGAGCGAGAGAGGTAGAGAGAGGAGAGCGAGAGAGGTAGAGAGAGGAGAGCGAGAGAGGTAGAGAGAGGAGAGCGAGAGAGGTAGAGAGAGGAGAGCGAGAGAGGTAGAGAGATAGAGGTAGAATAGACAGAGAGACATTCATATAATACGTTTGAATTAATTACATTTTACAGAACACACTCCTGATTTGTAAAATGAAGGCTTTAATAAATATAGTGTCTTTGCACAACACAGAACAGCATTGGACTGATCTAATGATATTATCGTGATATTATTAGGAGTTATGTATTGCAGAAACGCATTAGACTTGTGCTGTAATAAGATTCCCGCTACATATTAACAGTGGAGAGATGGCGTGACACATCCATCCATCCCCACATCTCCTTCTGTTTTATTCCCCACAGGCTACAGAGCTCTAATTACTGACTACCATCTGTTTCTCTCTCTCTGTCTCTCTGTTAGTCGTCTCTCTGTCAGTCGTCTCTGTCTCTCTCTGCATCTCTCTCTCTGTCAGTCCTCTCTGTATCTCTCTCTCTGTCAGTCCTCCATCTCTGTGTTTCTCTCTCTCTCTCTCTCTCTCTCTCTATCAGTCCTCTCTCACTGCCTGCTCTCTCAATTCAATTATCTTTGTTCTCTCTCTTTCTGTCCTTTCTCTCTCTCTCGCTCTCTCTCTCTCGCTCTCGCTCTTATGCTCTGTCTCTCACGCTCTCTCTCTCACACTCTCTCTCTCTCTCACGGTCTCCCTCCCCTTCCCCTACCTCTTGAGAGATTCAGCAAACATAGCAGTCATGTTGTCCATTCGGCTGTCTGCTCAGACAATGGTTAGATAGACATTAATTTACTGTGACTGGCAGAGCTGTGTGTGTGTGTGTGTGTGTGTGTGTGTGTGTGTGTGTGTGTGTGTGTGTGTGTGTGTGTACCTGGCCACTGCGCTGGGGCAGAGGTGGGTGTAGCATGCTCCTCTATGCTCTCGGTGCGTAACCGTCTCCTCTCACTCAGCAGTAGACCCTGGTACACCATCCCTGTAAACTGATTGGCCTCTGCCTGGCTGCTGCAAGGCACCATGGGAAAGAGCAAAGGCAGGATCAGACAGTCATTCAAATTAATCTCAACTGGAAATGGCAGTATGAAATCAAACTATAGGTCATCAAAACGTGTGTGTGTTGTGTGTGTGTGTGTGTTGTGTGTGTACCTGTAGCTATGGCTGTCACACAGGGCTTGATAGATGCAGGCAGACAGAGAGGCAGCCAGGGTGTGTAGAAGGTTAACCTGGAGAGGAGAGAGAGACATACATTACACTCATCTCAATCATGGAGGCACAAACATACAGCATCCTGCTGGCAAAGTCCCCCCCCACACACAGACACTGAACCATACATACCCTGTCGTCCATGAGTTCAGGGTGTGGCGGCAGCTCCATATGTGTGATGGTGTGGAGGATGTCATGGATGTGGTTGCTGAGGTGGAGGACAGGGTTGGAGATCACCGTCTTGGTGGTGGCGATACTGGCTGAGAGGAGGGGGAGGGTGGTGGGGAGGGGCAGGGGGGACTGGAGCTGTTTTACTGTAGTCTCCTGGAGGAGGAGAAAAAAAGAAGAGAACAGCAAGAATATATCAGAGGTGATACGGAGAGAGAGAGGGAGAGAGAGAGAGAGACAGAGAGAGAGAGAGAGAGACAGAGAGTGAGAGAAAGAGAGGTGAGAGCGAGAGCGAGAGAGATATATATACAGTGGGGAAAAAAAGTATTTAGTCAGCCACCAATTGTGCAAGTTCTCCCACTTAAAAAGATGAGAGAGGCCTGTAATTTTCATCATAGGTACACGTCAACTATGACAGACAAATTGAGAAAAACAATTCCAGAAAATCACATTGTAGGATTTTTAATGATTTTTTTTGCAAATTATGGTGGAAAATAAGTATTTGGTCACCTACAAACAAGCAAGATTTCTGGCTCTCACAGACCTGTAACTTCTTCTTTAAGAGGCTCCTCTGTCCTCCACTCGTTACCTGTATTAATGGCACCTGTTTGAACTTGTTATCAGTATAAAAGACACCTGTCCACAACCTCAAACAGTCACACTCCAAACTCCACTATGGCCAAGACCAAAGAGCTGTCAAAGGACACCAGAAACAAAATTGTAGACCTTCACCAGGCTGGGAAGACTGAATCTGCAATAGGTAAGCAGCTTGGTTTGAAGAAATCAACTGTGGGAGCAATTATTAAGAAATGGAAGACATACAAGACCACTGATAATCTCCCTCGATCTGGGGCTCCACGCAAGATCTCACCCTGTGGGGTCAAAATGATCACAAGAACGGTGAGCAAAAATCCCAGGACCACACGGGGGGACCTAGTGAATGACCTGCAGAGAGCTGGAACCAAAGTAACGAAGCCTACCATCAGTAACACACTACGCCGCCAGGGACTCAAATCCTGCAGTGCAAGACGTGTCCCCCTGCTTAAGCCAGTACAAGTCCAGGCCCGTCTGAAGTTTGCTAGAGTGCATTTGGATGATCCAGAAGAGGATTGGGAGAATGTCATATGGTCAGATGAAACCAAAATATAACTTTTTGGTAAAAACTCAACTCGTCGTGTTTGGAGGACAAAGAATGCTGAGCTGCATCCAAAGAACACCATACCTACTGTGAAGCATAGGGGTGGAAACATCATGCTTTGGGGCTGTTTTTCTGCAAAGGGACCAGGACGACTGATCCGTGTAAAGGAAAGAATGAATGGGGCCATGTATCATGAGATTTTGAGTGAAAACCTCCTTCCATCAGCATGGCATTGAAGATGAAACGTGGCTGGGTCTTTCAGCATGACAATGATCCCAAACACACCGCCCGGGCAACGAAGGAGTGGCTTCGTAAGAAGCATTTCAAGGTCCTGGAGTGGCCTAGCCAGTCTCCAGATCTCAACCCCATAGAAAATCTTTGGAGGGAGTTGAAAGTCCGTGTTGCCCAGCGACAGCCCCAAAACATCACTGCTCTAGAGGAGATCTGCATGGAGGAATGGGCCAAAATACCAGCAACAGTGTGTGTAAACCTTGTGAAGACTTACAGAAAACGTTTGACCTGTGTCATTGCCAACAAAGGGTATATTACAAAGTATTGAGAAACTTTTGTTATTGACCAAATACTTATTTTCCACAATAATTTGCTAATAAATTCATTAAAATTCCTACAATGTGATTTTCTGGAATTGTTTTTCTCATTTTGTCTGTCATAGTTGACGTGTACCTATGATGAAAATTACAGGCCTCTCTCATCTTTTTAAGTGGGAGAACTTGCACAATTGGTGGCTGACTAAATACTTTTTTCCCCCACTGTATATATATATATATATATAAACGAATTGGCAAGGGCACTAGAACAGTCTGCAGCACCCGGCCTCACCCTACTAGAATCTGAAGTCAAATGTCTTCTGTTTGCTGATGATCTGGTGCTTCTGTCACCAACCAAGGAGGGCCTACAGCAGCACCTAGATCTTCTGCACAGATTCTGTCAGAACTGGGCCCTGACAGTAAATCTCAGTAAGACTAAAATAATGGTGTTCCAAAAAAGGTCCAGTTGCCAGGACCACAAATACAAATTCCATCTAGACACCGTTACCCTATAGCACACAAAAAACTATACATACCTCGGCCTAAACATCAGCACCACAGGTAACTTCCACAAAGCTGTGAACGATCTGAGAGACAAGGCAAGAAGGGCCTTCTATGCCATCAAAAGGAACATAAAATTTGACATACCAATTAGGATCTGGCTAAAAATACTTGAATCAGTTATAGAACCCATTGCCCTTTATGGTTCTGAGGTCTGGGGTCCGCTCACCAACCAAGAATTCACAAAATGGGACAAACACCAAATTGAGCCTCTGCATGCAGAATTCTGCAAAAACATCCTCCGTGTACAACGTAAAACACCAAATAATGCATGCAGAGCAGAATTAGGCCAATACCCGCTAATTATCAAAATCCAGAAAAGAGCCATTAAATTCTATAACCACTTAAAAGGAAGCGATTCCCAAACCTTCCATAACAAAGCCATCACCTACAGAGAGATGAACTTGGAGAAGAGTACCCTAAGTAAGCTTGTCCTGGGGCTCTGTTCACAAACACAAACAGACCCCACACAGCCCAAGGACAACAACAACACAACTAGACCCAACCAAATCATGAGAAAACAAAAAGAGAATTACTTGACACATTGGAAAGAACAAACTAGAATGCTATTTGGCCCTAAACAGAGAGTACACAGTGGCAGAATACCTTCTCAAGAGAAGACAGGCTATGTGCACACTGCCCACAAAATGAGGTGGAAACTGAGCTGCACTTCCTAACCTCCTGCCATACCTCCTCCATTTATGACCATATTAGAGACACATATTTCCCTCAGATTACAGCGATCCACAAAGAATTCGAAAACAAACCCAATTTTGATAAACTCCCTTATCTACTGGGTGAAAAACCACAGTGTGCCATAACAGCTGCAAGATTTGTGACCTGTTGCCACAAGAAAAGGGCAACCAGTGAAGAACAAGCACGATTGTAAATACAACCCATAGTTATGTTTATTTATTTTCCCATTTGTACTTTAACTATTTGCACATTGTTACAACACTGTATATATACATAATATGACATTTGAAATGTATTTTTTCTTTTGAAACTTCTGAGTGTAATGTTTACTGTTAATATTTATTGTTTATTTCACTTTTGTTTACTATCTACTTCACTTGCTTTGGCAATGTTAACACACGTTTCCCATGCCAATAAAGCCCTTACATTGAAATTGAATTGAATTGAATTGAGAGAGGAGAGAGAGACAGAGAGAGACAGAGAGAGGAGAGGGAGTGAGACAGAGAGAGAGAGAGCGAGACAGAGAGAGAGAGGAGAGAGCATGTATCTGACCTGTGTGTGTGTGTGTGTGTGTGTCTTCAGCACCTACCTGTTGGCTCTCCTGGAGCAGGAAGATGAGCTCCATGCGTACAGAGGTGACCCCCCCTCCCTTGGCCCCGTGCAGGCTGCAGTAGGACAGGAAGACCCGGAGCAGAGCCTGGTTCTTCCTCAGCCACGCCTTCCTCCTCTCAGCATGAAGCTGCTTGGCCGCAAGACGCCTGCGCTCCATCTGGTGGCGCTCATACGCCCCCGTCTCTGTACCCCCGCCACCCCCCAGGGACTCCTCAAACACGTCCTCTACTCCTCCTCCATCCTCCCATCTCTCCACCTCCTGGCTCTCCTCCTTCCCCAACACCTGAAGAAGAGAAAAGGATAGCGGGTTTTATTAAGGTAAGATCTTTAAGATGTTTATGGTAGCAGTAGCAGTTAAAGTAAATACAGTTTTCAATTCAACTCAATGCACTTCTGGTATAGTATGGCTGATGAGGAGTTGGTGGTTAGGCTCTAGTAGGTGTCATGGTTGGGGTCAATTACATTTAAATCCAGTCAATTCAGGAAGTAAACTGACATTTTGGGAAAGTTACCAGAAATGTGCAACCCTCTGAGTGTCCTTTAAAGGGGAGCTGTGTACCTTGTAGTTGCAGATGCGGTGTGTGTGTGTGTACCTTGTAGTTGCAGATGCGGTGTGTGTGTGAGTACCTTGTAGTTGCAGATGCGGTGCATGGCTCCTATCTCCTTCTCTAACCAGCTGTAGAGCTGAAAGCGCAGCTTCCCTCCGTCCACCTCATAGCCCGTAGCTAGCGTACGTAGCTCGGTCATCAGAATCTTCAGACAAGCGCGGAACTTCAGCTGCTCTGCGATCACATCCACCTCAGACTCACCCTGAGAGCAGAGATGGTTATGGAAATATCTATCACTCAATTACTGTCATAATAACTCTATATTAACAGTATCATACCTGTATAATTTTCTCACAGAAAAACCAATATTTTAAATTAGACTAATACATTAGATATTTTCAATAAACAAGAAAATTCATTATCGTGTTAAAAAAAGCGTAATTTTCTTTTTTGATATCTTAACAGACAAGGAAAACCCACACACTGCTTTTTCCAGTATCACTTAGACTCACAAAGCTGACGTATCAACTTCCTTTTCTTTTAAAGTAATCTCAACAATCAATTATATTGACTATTGATAATATTGACTGTTGCTTATATTGTTGCCAGCCCTACCTGAGAGTCCGCTCTCTGCAGCCCAGGTGGTCTCACCCCCCCAGATCCCTTGTCATCTTTGGTCTCCACCTCAGTCTTCTTCATTGTCAGACCACCACCATCATCATCATCATCTTCATCCTTCTTATCATCTCCCCAGTCCAGCTGCAGTCCATCGTCCTCCACTTTGACCAGAGGCTGGCTCCAGTCCAGTGTGGCTGAGCTCTCCTCTGTACCCCAGGCAGGAGTGGCCTTAACTGGGGCAGGAGAGGCCCAGTCCAGGTCCCCCTGGTTCCCATTCTCCAGGGGCAGGCTGGAGCTGACGTTGGCCATGGAAGAGCCTTTACTCAGGGGGGACGAGGAGACTGACTTCTTGGTCACCTTGGGGATCTTGGAGAGCACCTCCAGGGCAAGCACTGGACAGCCCACCTTTATTAGAAAACAGAATAATCACTATTAGTAACATTAGTAAGTAGCCTTTCACAAGCCGTTGCTCTCTCTCTCCTATTTCTGTAGCGTGAGGCAGCTTGATGTACAACTACACCCCCTGGACAGGACAGTAGTCTATCTCCTGTTTCTGTAGCGTGAGGCAGCTTGATGTACAAGTACACCCCCTGGACAGGACAGTAGTCTATCTCCTGTTTCTGTAGTGTGAGGCAGCTTGATGTACAACTACACCCCCTGGACAGGACAGTAGTCTATCTCCTGTTTCTGTAGCGTGAGGCAGCTTGATGTACAAGTACACCCCCTGGACAGGACAGTAGTCTATCTCCTGTTTCTGTAGCGTGAGGCAGCTTGATGTACAAGTACAACCCCCTGGACAGGACAGTAGTCTATCTCCTGTTTCTGTAGCGTGAGGCAGCTTGATGTACAAGTACACCCCCTGGACAGGACAGTAGTCTATCTCCTGTTTCTGTAGCGTGAGGCAGCTTGATGTACAAGTACACCCCCTGGACAGGACAGTAGTCTATCTCCTGTTTCTGTAGCGTGAGGCAGCTTGATGTACAAGTACACCCCCTGGACAGGACAGTAGTCTATCTCCTATTTCTGTAGCGTGAGGCAGCTTGATGTACAAGTACACCCCCTGGACAGGACAGTAGTCTATCTCCTGTTTCTGTAGCGTGAGGCAGCTTGATGTACAAGTACACCCCCTGGACAGGACAGTAGTCTATCTTCTGTTTCTGTAGCGTGAGGCAGCTTGATGTACCAGTACACCCCCTGGACAGGACAGTAGTCTATCTCCTGTTTCTGTAGCGTGAGGCAGCTTGATGTACCAGTACACCCCCTGGACAGGACAGTAGTCTATCTCCTGTATCTGTAGCGTGAGGCAGCTTGATGTACAAGTACACCCCCTGGACAGGACAGTAGTCTATCTCCTGTTTCTGTAGCGTGAGGCAGCTTGATGTACCGGTACACCCCCTGGACAGGACAGTAGTCTATCTGCTGTTTCTGTAGCGTGAGGCAGCTTGATGTACAGTACACCCCCTGGACAGGACAGTAGTCTATCTCCTGTTTCTGTAGCGTGAGGCAGCTTGATGTACCAGTACACCCCCTGGACAGGACAGTAGTCTATCTGCTGTTTCTGTAGCGTGAGGCAGCTTGATGTACAGTACACCCCCTGGACAGGACAGTAGTCTATCTCCTGTTTCTGTAGCGTGAGGCAGCTTGATGTACCAGTACACCCCCTGGACAGGACAGTAGTCTATCGCAGGGCCTTACCCCCAATCCATCTCCTTATTAGTAACATTACTTTTATATTCATTAACTTATCCTTTACTTATAAAAGTGAGATAAAAAATGATACTAATCTTAAAATACTGATAGTACACCATGACTACTGTTTTTAATGCCGTGCCTCATTACACCTTACAATAAGTACTATACAACAGGTATAGTACAATCTAGTTTTTTAAATCGTCAACTTTCTTGTGTTATCTTCGATGCTTCTAAATGCATTGTAGCCACGTGTGGTTGAATTGAGTTTTTAAATGATTGATTAAAACAAATCAAAGACCTTGAAGTGTGCGTTGGCGGTGGTGAAGAAGAGTTTGCGTTCGATGAGGTTGATCTCGTCGACGCTGCTCTTCTCCGAGGTGAGGCCTAGTGATGATGTCACAGCACCCTCAGGGGACGCGTAGTGGCGGCGGATGATCAGGGGGTGTGTCCTCAAGTAGTTATAGAAACTAAACACCACCGGGTTACACGACTTCACCATCACATCTGGGGGGGGATAGAGAGGGATAGAGGAGGGAGGGAGGGGGAGAGGAGAGGGAGACATGGAGAGAGAAAGAAAGAAAGAAAGAGAGTAAGAGGTAGAGAGAGGTCAATGCAATCCAGTTAGAATATAGCATCAGCGCTAGGCTGAAACATCCCTGCCCCCTCTGAGTGTGTGATCTACCACCATGCTGCTCTCACCAGGGTTCTCATCGTCCTCTTTGGGGATGCACTCTAGCAGCGTGTCCAAGGCCTTGGTGTAGTCCTTCATGATCCAGAAGGCTATGCTGCGTAGGAACGGGTCCGGGTGCAGTTTGGTGCAGTGGTACCCCGACCCGTCCCTCTGGCAGCCCAAAACCTTCTCATACAGGATGGCTTGGCAGGTGGAACTGCTCTCATAGTCAGCCTCGTACAGCCTGGCTACTACCATGGCCAACTGGATATCTTCCATCTTCTCCAAGCACACCTAGAGAGGAGAGGGGGACAGTTGGAGTTAGAGTTAGAGTAGAGTTAAGAGTTACAGTAGAGTAGAGTTAGAGTAACGGTTAGAGTAGAGTAGAGTACAATTAGAGTAGAGTAGAGTAGAGTTAGAGTAGAGGACAGTTAGAATAGAGCAGAGTTTGAGTAGAGTTAGAGTAGAGGACAGTTAGAGTAGAGTTTGAGTAGAGTTAGGGAAGAGGACAGTTAGAATAGAGCAGAGTTAGAGTAGAGGACAGTTAGAATAGAGCAGAGTTTGAGTAGAGTTAGAGTAGAGGACAGTTAGAGTAGAGCAGAGTTTGAGTAGAGTTAGAGTAGAGGACAGTTAGAATAGAGCAGAGTTTGAGTAGAGTTAGGGTAGAGGATAGTTAGAATAGAGCAGAGTTTGAGTAGAGTTAGAGTAGAGGACAGTTAGAGTAGAGCAGAGTTTGAGTAGAGTTAGAGTAGAGGACAGTTAGAGTAGAGGACAGTTAGAGTTGGCCTATGTTCCATAAGGACTACAAAGGCCTAGTAAGTAAGTAACAGTTAGAGTTAAAGTAGAGTTACAGTAGAGGACAGTTAGAATAGAGGACAGCTAGAGTTAGAGAGTAGAGGACAGTTAGAGTAGAGTAGAGATAGAGCAAATTTACAGTAGTGTTAGAGTAGAGTTAGAATTAGAGTTGGAGGGAGTAGAGGACAGTTAGAGTAGAGTACTGTTAGAGTAGAGTACAGTTAGAGTTAAGAGTAGAGTTACAGTAGAGTGGAGTTAGAGTAGAGTTAGAGTAGAGTAAAGAGTAACAGTAGAGTAGAGTACAGTTAGAGTTGGAGTAGAGTACAGTTAGAGTTCGAGTAGAGTACAGTTAGAGTTCAAGTTGAGTACAGTTAGAGTAGAGTAGAGTTCAAGTTGAGTAAAGTTAGAGTGGAGGACAGTTAGAGTGGAGGACAGTTAGAGTGGAGGACAGTTAGAGTAGAGGACAGTTAGAGTAGAGGACAGTTAGAGTAGAGGACAGTAAGAGTTAAGAGTAGAGTTACAGTAGGGTAGAGTTAGAGTTGGAGTTAGAGCAGAGTACAGTTAGAGTAGAGTACAGTTAGAGTTGGAGTAGAGGACAGTTAGAGTTCAAGTTGAATACAGTTAGAGTAGAGGACAGTAAGAGTTAAGAGTAGAGTTATAATAGAGTACAGTTAGAGTAGAGTGCAGTTAGAGTAGAGTACAGTTAGAGTAGAGGACAGTTAGAGTAGAGGACAGTTAGAGTAGAGGACAGTTAGAGTAGAGGACAGTAAGAGTTAAGAGTAGAGTTATAATAGAGTACAGTTAGAGTAGAGTGCAGTTAGAGTAGAGTACAGTTAGAGTAGAGGACAGTTAGAGTAGAGGACAGTTAGAGTAGAGGACAGTTAGAACAGAGTTTGAGTAGAGTTAGAGTAGAGTACAGTTAGAATAGAGCAGAGTTTGAGTACAGTTAGAGTAGAGTTAAGAGTAGAGTTAAGAGTAGAGTTAAGAGTAGAGTTAAGAGTAACAGTAGAGTAGAGTACAGTTAGAGTAGAGTACAGTTAGAGTAGAGTAGAGTTCAAGTTGAGTACAGTTAGAGCAGAGGACAGTTAGAGTAGAGGACAGTAAGAGTTAAGAGTAGAGTATAATAGAGTAGAGTTAGAGTTGGAGTTAGAGCAGAGTAACAGTAGAGTTAGAATAGAGTTAAGAGTAGAGTTAAGAGTAACAGTAGAGTAGAGTACAGTTAGAGTAGAGTACAGTTACAGTTGGAGTAGAGTACAGTTAGAGTTCAAGTTGAGTACAGTTAGAGTGGAGGACAGTTAGAGTTAAGAGTTGAGTTACAGTATAGTTAGAGTTGGAGTAGAGTAGAGTTAGAGTTAGAGTAGAGTTAGAGTTAGAGTAGAGTTAGAGTAGAGGACAGCTAGAGTAGAGGACAGCTAGAGTAGAGGACAGCTAGAGTTAGAGAGTAGAGGACAGTTTGAGTAGAGTAGAGTTTGAGTAGAGTTAGAGTTAGAGTAGAGTTAGAGTAGAGGACAGTTAGAGTAGAGGACAGCTAGAGTAGAGGACAGCTAGAGTAGAGGACAGCTAGAGTAGAGGACAGCTAGAGTAGAGAGTAGAGGACAGTTTGAGTAGAGTAGAGTTTGAGTAGAGAAGTTAGAGTAGAAATTAGAGGTATTGAAAGGACAGCCTAGAAAAATAGAGGACAGTTAGAGTAGAGGACAGCTAGAGTAGGAGGACAGTTAGAGTAGAGGACAGTTAGAGTAGGAAGGAAAAAAAGCCTAGAAGAGAAGTAATGGAGAGCTAGAGTAGAGGACAGCTAGAGTTAGAGGGTAGAGGACAGTTAGAGTAGGCCTATGTTCCGTAAGGAATACAAAGGCCTAGTAAGTAAGTAACAGTTAGAGTTAGAGTAGAGTTAGAGTAGAGGACAGTTAGAATAGAGAAGAGTAGAGTTGAGAGTAGAGGACAGCTAGAGTTAGAGGAGTAGGGAGAGGACAGTAAGTAGAGGAGCTAGGTTAGAGTGAACAGTTAGAGTTGGCCTATGTTCCGTAAGGAATACAAAGGCCTAGTAAGTAAGTAACAGTTAGAGTTAGAGTAGAGTTAGAGTAGAGGACAGTTAGAATAGAGCAGAGTTTGAGTACAGTTAGAGTAGAGGACAGTTAGAGTTGGCCTATGTTCCGTAAGGAATACAAAGGCCTAGTAAGTAAGTAACAGTTAGAGTTAGAGTAGAGTTAGAGTAGAGGACAGTTAGAATAGAGAACAGCTAGAGTTAGAGAGTAGAGGACAGCTAGAGTTAGAGTAGAGTTAGAGGGTAGAGGACAGTTAGAGTAGAGGACAGCTAGAGTTAGAGAGTAGAGGACAGTTAGAGTTGGGCTGTGTTCTGTAAGGAATATAAAGGACTAGTAAGTAAGAGTTAGATTAGAGTTAGAGGAGATGAAAAACACTGAGATGCCACACAAGGCACTGTCCACACATCAAGCAGGTTCTGCATGTGCATGGTTTAGAACATAGACTTATTAAGAAACCTGACAACCATAGATGAATTTAGGGGCAGTTTCCTGGTTTAGACTCTTTGCTAAAACTGACTAAACAGTAAAGACTCATGGCTAAGACAGACTAAAATGATGAAAGTGTGATCTAGTGTTCTCCTCAATGACGCCCTTTTGAAATGACTGTCTGGTAAACTATCCCCAAACACTTCCAGTAGGAACCCCATTCTCCTGCTATCAGCATGTTGAGACTGTGCTGTTGCACCCTCAGCCCAAGGTAAAGTAACCCCAACATTTACGTAGCTAACCATCCCCACGACCTTATCTTTCAGGTTTAGACTAGAGCATTCACACACTCACACAGCTGTAGAGTCTCATGTCATTGACACACCTCCCAGTTGACTTCCATAAACATTAGTCTGTGCCAGGTTTCCATGACGAGGATGGTGTCGCAACGACAGACACAATACAGGTGCAGCTGAAGTAGGTCTAAACTAGGAACAGACTGTGTGTGTGTGTGTGTGTGTGTGTGTGTGTGTGTGTGTGTGTGTGTGTTGTGTGTGTGTGTGTGGTGTTTCCAGACCTCGATGGCATCTTTCAGGGAGCCAGCCAGCAGGAAGAAGGCAGCAGCCTGTTCAAAGCGCTGTTTCCCCAACAGAGAGAAAGCGTTCTTCAGAGCTGCTTTACGCCAGCGGTCCTCACTGAAGTTATTCTTAAAGAACACCGTCATCTTCTCATCACGCTGAGACCTAGAGGAGAGGAGGAGAGAAGAGGAGAGGAGAGGAGAGGAGAGAGGAAGAGGAGAGGAGAGGAGAGGGAGGAGGAGAGGAGGAGAGGGAGGAGGAGGAGGGGAGGAGGAGAGGAGAGGAGAGGAGAGGAGAGGAGAGGAGGAGAATAGAATATGCATTATTTACCTACTGTACATGATTAATGTAATCGTGTTCTGACACACAAGGGTAAACATAAAATGTGGATTTTAAAGAAAAAAAGTGCAGAAGAGGTGAACAACTAAACAAAAAGGTAAGACAACACAAACTGATCTGGGATCTGGCTAGAGCTCCAGGTGTTTTACAGATGTGCGTTACCTGAACAGACCCCAGAGAACAGCCTTCTTCTTCCTCATGGCCAGGTAGAATAGAGCTGCATCTAAAGGATCATTGTTCCTCTGGAACGCTGCTTTACCCACCTACACACACACAGAGATCAATCAATCAAACAATCAAAACCTACCAATCAATGCAATAAACCAATCAATGGATGATTGGAGTTCAGGCCACACATTCCCCTACCTTCTCAACCATCCTGCGTAGTGTGTTGATGTTGCGTGTCCACCAACCCACCCCTACAGCCCGTAGCTCAGACCACTGAGGGTCTCCTCTCTGCATGGCGGGGATCATATTCAACATCTCCTCCTCAGCCTCCGAGTGGAACGCCCACGCAAAGTGACACGTAGACAGACCTGGGGGGAGGGGGGGGAACAGAGAGAGGCAGGTGAGGTGACTGTGCTCAGAGGGGAGAGAAACAGAGAGAGGCAGGTGAGGTGACTGTGCTCAGAGGGGAGAGAAACAGAGAGAGGCAGGTGAGGTGACTGTGCTCAGAGGGGAGAGAAACAGAGAGAGGCAGGTGAGGTGACTGTGCTCAGAGGGGAGAGAAAGGGTTGCTTTGCTTCAGCGCTTGATTGTTGACTGTTGCTTACAAAACGGGAACAGGGACCAGAGAGAGACAACATATCTGGACCTGGGAGGGAAAAGGGACATATCTGGACCTGGGAGGGAACAGGGACCAGAGAGAGACAACATATCTGGACCTGGGAGGGAACAGGGACCAGAGAGAGACAACATATCTGGACCTGGGAGGTTAAAAGGGACATATCTGGACCTGGGAGGGAACAGGGACCAGAGAGAGACAACATATCTGGACCTGGGAGGGAACAGGGACCAGAGAGACAACATATCTGGACCTGGGAGGGAACAGGGACCAGAGAGACAACATATCTGGACCTGGGAGGGAACAGGGACCAGAGAGAGACAACATATCTGGACCTGGGAGGGAACAGGGACCAGAGAGAGACAACATATCTGGACCTGGGAGGGAACAGGGACCAGAGAGAGACAAACATATCTGGACCTGGGAGGGAACAGGGACCAGAGAGAGACAACATATCTGGACCTGGGAGGGAACAGGGACCAGAGAGAGACAACATATCTGGACCTGGGAGGGAACAGGGACCAGAGAGAGACAACATATCTGGACCTGGGAGGGAACAGGGACCAGAGAAACCACTGCAAGTCATCCTACATATCCAATAATAGATCAATCCCTCAGTATAATGTACCAATAAGCACTCTCTACGACCCTCTCCATCATAGCTCAGAAAGTGAGATTGGGAAGCAGGAGTGTGTGTGTGTGTGTGTACCATACCTTGGTGCAGCAACTGCATGCGGTACAGCGGGGGTAGAGAGGTGAGGAGACAGGTGTGTAGACGCATGGCTAACAGGTACCTCAACCCACACTCATCCAGGGCCTCACCACCTAGACACAAACACATTATTAACACATGGGTTAGTATAGGACATTAACACACACACACACACACAATGATCAGATGGAATCAGATGGTGCCAGTCTTTCCCATTCATTTGGGATAGAGCAGCTTCTCCTAATTCTACACACCAGATGGAGAGGGTTGAGGGATCTCTCTATCCCCGTCTACCTATCCATACAAAGGGATGAAAACACTGATTTAGGAATCAGCCCTTTAAATGTCTTCGACTCCATGTGCCTGGTCCTCTCCCCACCCCCTCTCTACCTCTCCCCCTCTCTCCACCCCTCTCCCTCTCTACCTCTCTCCACCCCCCTCTACCTCTCTCCCTCTACCTCTCTCCTCTACCTCTACTCCCTCTACCTCTACTCCCTCTACCTCTCCCCCCTCTCTCTCTCTCTCTCTCCCTGCTTACTTAACAGAGGAACAACCTGCTAAGGTCTCTCTCTCACATCCCTCTTAAAGACTAAATAACATATATAACAGACTGATAGTGGAGGTAAAATGACAAAGATAACTGTGAGTGTGTGTGTGTTTATATCAATAATTAGGAACACACAATCAGGGAATAACTCTGACTAGACTAATTACATTATATTTGTATTTGTTTAGCCTAATAGACCATGGTTAGGCAAAACATAGCCCAAGTCGCAGACACAAACACCCTCCCTCTCTCTGAGACTGACCTGTGTACTGTTTGTCAGTGGAGCTGCTGACCTCTGCACTGGTGGTTGCTACAGTATCAGCTAGAGCCACCAGGAACATCTGTTCTAACCGAGTCAGACCTGGAAGACTGGAATGCATCAGCTGACTAGATAACACCTGGAGGGAGGGAGGGAGAGGGAGAGAGAGAGAGAGAGAGGGAGGGAGGGAGAGAGAGAGAGAGGGAGGAGAGGAGGGGGGAGGGAGGGAGGGGGAGGGAGGGAGGGAGAGAGGGAGGGAGGGAGGGAGGGGGAGGGAGGGAGGGGAGGGAGGGAGAGAGGGAGGGAGGGAGGGAGGGAGGGAGGGAGGGGAGGGAGGGGAGGGAGGGAGGGATTAGCAGAGAAGAATGACTGTATTAATCTCAGAGGTGATATATTGATTTGACAAACAAACAATTAAACCAGACAATAACATCTAAAGCATCAGCAAGCTGGTAAGTAAATACATGTTCTTGTTGTTTACCTGTGCGTGTTCTGGTCCGAAGTAGGTGGGTCCATACTGAGACAGGTTGATGAATCTAGACTTCTTCTCTACTTTCTCTGTAGCGAAGCTCGCAAAGTCATCTGTCGTCACCGCCTGCAACTGAGGGAGGGAGGGAGCCATACAATGACTCGTTGGTTGATTGATTTGGGTATAACAGACAGGAGACTACATCTGGACTCAGAGGTTAACATATATGGTTCCAACAGACATTTACTGCATATCATGTCTTTAGGTAACAGACAGAACAATATCAATATTATACAATAGAAAATGAACCAACACGTTTTTGAAGAATCTGTTGAGCATCTACACACTTAGGAACTATGATTCTATGAAAAAAGAAACGTCTGTGTGTCACTGAAACATCCACCTAAAACCTAAACCCTTTTACCTGGAACAGGTCAGTGTACTGATCTTCTCCTGTCTTCCTCGCCCCCTCTACCTCGGCCACCTTCCCCCCCTTCGCCCCCTCCTCTCCTCCCTTATAGGAGGTGTCCAGGTCAGCAGAGAGCAGAGCGTAGAGGGGTAGAGGGGGAATGGAGTTGATTTCTGTGTAATCACGTCCCCCGTCGCGGCCGGCCACGATGGTGTCTTTAGCCGTGCTGCCGCTCACACTGATTGTCCGGGACAGGTGACGTCTGGTTCCACCCTCACCTGCCTCCACGTCCCTCACCACGGCAACCTCCCCGGCGATACACTTCACCAGGTGGGACAGGATGGCCTGGAGAAGAAGAAGAATAACCATATTCATCATCAACAGTAGCAGAGACATTATTATAGTCATCGACAACATCATCATCAACAGTAGCAGAGACATTATTATAGTCATCGACAGCATCATCATCATCAACAGTAGCAGAGACATTATTATAGTCATCGACAGCATCATCATCATCATCAACCGTAGCAGAGGACATTATTATAGTCATCGGACAGCATCATCATCAACAGTAGCAGAGGACATTTTAGTCATCGACAGCACATATCATCATCAACAGTAGCAGAGACATTATTATAGTCATGACAGCATATCATCAAAAAGTAGCAGGGGACATTTTAGTCAGACAGCATCATCATCAAACAGTAGCAGAGGGCATTATTAAGTCATCGACAGCCCTCATCATCATCAACAGTAGCAGAGAATTATTATAGTCATCGACAGCATCATCACATCATCAACAGTAGCAGAGACATTATTATCGACAGACATCATCATCATCATCAACAGTAGCAGATACATTATTATAGTCATCGACAGCATCATCATCAACAGTAGCAGAGACATTAGTCATCGACAGCATCATCATCATCATCAACAGTAGCAGAGACATTATTATAGTCATCGACAGCATCATCATCAATAGTAGCAAGACATTATTATAGTCTCGACGCTCATCATCATCATCCATCATCATAAACAGTAGCAGAGACATTATTATAGTCATCGACAGCATCATCATCATCATCAACAGTAGCAGATACATTATTATAGTCATCGACAGCATCATCATCAACAGTAGCAGAGACATTATTATAGTCATCGACAGCATCATCATCAACAGTAGCAGAGACATTATTATAGTCATCGACAGCATCATCATCAACAGTAGCAGAGACAATTATAGTCATCGACAGCATCATCATCATCAACAGTAGCAGAGACATTATTATAGTCATCGACAGCATCATCATCAACAGTAGCAGAGACATTATTATAGTCATCGACAGCATCATCATCATCATCAACAGTAGCAGAGACATTATTATAGTCATCGACAGCATCATCATCATCATCAACAGTAGCAGAGACATTATTATAGTCATCGACATCATCATCATCATCAACAGTAGCAGAGACATTATTATAGTCATCGACAGCATCATCATCATCGTCATGGTCGCCATAATCATCATCATGACATTCTATGACTACTCAAGAAGTTCTCTGGTCACTTCAATAAAAGTATCTTGGTCGCAAAATTTAAAATGGAAGGGCAGAGGAGGACAGCCAGCCAGCCAGAGGAGAAAAGCCTACCAGCAGCCCGATGCCACCAACCAATAGACAGGGGCAACCAGAATCATCACCCACCATCCACCCAGACCCACCAGTCAGACAGACAGCAAACAGCCATATATCATCCATTCATCACCACCATCCACCAGCAGCAGCCAGCAACCAGCCATTTATTCATCCCTTTTACCCAGGACCCACCCGTCGTCAGACGACAGCAACCAGCCATCTATTCATCCACCCACCCTCCCCCAGACCCACCAGTCAGACACCAGCCAAAAACCCGCATCTTTCCAAACCATTCACCCAGACCACAGTCAGGGCAGAAGCAGCCAACCAGCCATCCATCATCCACCCCCAGACCACAGTCAGAGGCAGCCAACCCGCCATCTATCATCCATTCATCCACCCACCCATCCACCCAGACCCACCAGACAGCCAACCAGCCATCTATTCATCCACCCACCCATCCACCCAGACCCCACCAGTAGACAGCCAGCCAACCAGCCATCTATTCATCCATCCACCCAGACCCACCAGTCAGACAGCAGCCAACCAGCCATCTATTCATCCACCCATCCACCCAGACCCACCAGTCAGACAGCCAGCCAACCAGCCATCTATTCATCCATCCAGCCAGACCAGTCAGTCAGACCCACCTTGGCACGGCGGACCTTCCCCAGGTCCATGAGCTCCAGCAGCTGTGTTGGATGGTACTGAGGCAGGGTGGGGGACAGGGAGTGGGCCGCCTCGAACAGACCCCCCTCCTGCAGCCCCGCAGGCGCCTGGAGAGCCTCGTCGATTGCCACGTTGCCCTCAAACATACTCTTGGACCGGGCACGCCCCTTGAACGCCGACGAGGATCCCCCCGTGGTTGTGGTGGTGGCCGTCTGCCCTCCGCCCCCTCCAACCCCCCCGGCGATGTTATCTGCAGAGGAGAGGCTGTCCCCCTCGGCCTCGCCGGGCTTGCGGTCCTGGCGCCACTGGGCGTACACGTGCATCTCACAGTCCATACCCACCACCAGGATGCCGTCCCTCACCCAGGACAGGGACACGGGCAGGGAGGGGTGCCGTCCACCGAGGAGAGCAGGTCCACGGTGCGCAGCAGGATCCAGCGGGAACGGATACCCTGTTTCACATTAGATTAGGTTAGGGATGCATCCCAAATGGAATCCCGGGCTGGGCGCTGGAAAAATAGGAGGGAATTGATCTGGCAACTGGGTTCATATGCTAAAGACATTCCCCTACCATGGGGCCCTTGAGCAAGGCCCTTAACCTTACAACATGCACTGCAGCTTGACCCTGTGCTTGTCTCAACTGTGTGTGTGATGTGTGCTGTCTGGGGTGGGGGGTGTTTCGCTGTAACACAAGGACAATGAAGTTCTTCTCTATTCTATTCTATTCCTTATATGTTGCATTACTTTTCACCAGGACCCACGTACCAAAAGGCACCCTATTCCCTTAATAATAATAAGATAATTTATTTTCCAGACGCTTTATAGTGCAGCCATTAGGCTCTGGTCAAAAGTAGTGCACTAATTAGGGAATAGGGTGCCATCTGGGTAGCCTGACGACTCACTCTAAATTCTTCCACTGCCCTGTCGTTCGCTATAAACAGTCCTTTAGTCTGAGACTGCCAACATTGAAGTCGTTTGTTGTGAGGAGGGGCACGAAGGGCGTTGTAAGAAACAAAGTAATCAGCGATTGGATCGTCTCTAACCAATCAGAGTATCAAAGCCAATGACGACATTTTCAAACGTCCGCTTTACACACTTGTGTTCTAGCTCTGGCGGAAGCCCAATCGGTTTCTGGACCAATCAGACGGCCCCGAATGTGTTCGCATTCGGTGAAGGGTCAGGGAGGTACTCAGATCCGGACTCATTGCGGAGAAGAAACTAACGTCTGTGTGCGAGGAGTTTGGCCTGAAGCAAGGAGTCTGACTAGCCAGGCAACCATTAGGGAAGCAAGGAGTCTGACTAGCCAGGCAACCATTAGGGAAGCAAGGAGTCTGACTAGCCAGGCAACCATTAGGGAAGCAAGGAGTCTGACTAGCCAGGCAACCATTAGGGAAGCAAGGAGTCTGACTAGCCAGGCAACCATTAGGGAAGCAAGGAGTCTGACTAGCCAGGCAACCATTAGGGAAGCAAGGAGTCTGACTAGCCAGGTAACCATTAGGGAAGCAAGGAGTCTGACTAGCCAGGCATCCATTAGGGACGCACACTTGAAAACTTGAATGTCCTCAATGAGGCAATTCATTTAGCAGCATACACAATACATACAGACAGAATCCCATATTAACAAACAGCATATGTACCAGCAATACACAGTAGACTAAATGTGGGAAGAATACAAGGTAATGTAGGTTACAGAAGTACCTGTTTGATCCTGACTTTGGGGTGTGTGTGTGTGTGTGTGTATATGTGTGTGCATGTACCTGTTTGATGCTGCCCCCTAGAGGTAGGGTGATGATCGCCACCCCGTCCTTGCTTGCGGTCTGTTCGTTGACCACGCCCGAGATACGACCGTACATGAGGATGTTGGACCCCACCCCCACCGTGAGAATATGAGACCCGTCCTCTTTGGACAGCCAGTCCAGGTGGACGTAGTGTTTGATGTTGGGAGAGTGGTGATCGCGACTCATGTACAGGTCAGACCTACAGAGAGAGAGGGGGTTAGTAATTTAAGAGACATGCACACACAGCACACACACAGAGACACACAGACACACACACACACACACACAACAGACACCCCCCACCAGTACCTGTTGTACACAAAGAGGTTGGAGTCTACACTGACTCTGGGGTCCAGGGTAGAGGAGGACCTAGTAAAGTCATCCAGGTGGAGGGTCTGCTCCAACACCCACTCTGACCCCCCCGTAGACTCACACTCAAAGATGGACACGTGCATGGAGAAGTCCCCTGCTGGACCATGGCTCTGGAGACAGGGATGGAATACACTTCATTAAACAGTTAGGTTAAATGGAAAAAGACAAATGTCTGAGGGAAAATGAACATTGAAGTATTGTCCATTTTAGTCATCAGATGTTCTTATCCAAAACCATATCCAGAGATAAGGAGGGTGAGAGAACCACAATCACTTCAGGTAAAACCTTCTACAAAATAACTCTGATAAGAGTTTATACTGTATTTATGACATTCCACAGGGCCAGAAATTGAAAGCAATGTGCTGAATTCAGACAGGTGAACTACACTGCACTTAAACAGAATATGCACTAATCCAATGAGCCATTAACATGAGTGGAGCGTACAGTAAAAGTCCTCTCCTACCTTTCCCGGTATATGTCCGGGCCGGGGCTGTTTGAAGGAGACAGCCAGTCGTCCAGTGTAGGAACATGACACGGCTACAGGACGTCCCGGGACACACACAGCGCTGTTGTTATCCTCCTCCTCGTTGAGTAGGGCCCAAGGCTCCCAGTGATAGACCCTGCTCTCCCTCTCCTCACAGCCCAGGGCTGACTCTCCCCCCTCCTCACCCTCCACAGAGCAGCGCCAGAAGCGGACGCGGGAGTCAGAGCAGGTGGTGACGATCAGGTAGGGGGCCAGACACACAGGGTAGATGGACGACGAACTCAGGTGACCTGGAGAGAGGGGAGCGAGAGAGAGAGAGAGGGGAGAGCGAGAGAGAGAGAGAGAGAGAGGAGAGAGAGAGAGAGAGAGAATAGAATAACTGTTACAAAGGATACAGACTAACTCAGATGACTTGAAGACAGAGAGACATGGAGGACAATGGTAGATTCAATTGTTAGGATCCAGTCCCTGGCTTCAGAGGCGTTCTATTTTCTATTATGTGCTGTTGGCTTTTTAAAACTTTTACTTTAGAATATATTACATTTTGACTGTTTTTACAAATATATAAAAGTAATGTTATTAGTCTTTACCTGTGGAGGGTATATTTACAGTATATATATATATCTGTGTGCATGCATACGCGTATCCTTCCCATCCCTACCAGAAGAGTGTGGTGGTAGTGCGGTAGGTGTGTGAGATTATAGTACATGGGGGGGTAAACCGGAAAAAATAGAAAGGTAGGGGGTACAGAAGTGGAGCTGAGGAAGTTGTGGCATGAGGTGGCGTGGGGGACTGAGCGGGAGGGGGGAGGTTTCCGGGGATGATTGTAATATGTATTGGAAGGTAGATTAGATAATTAAATAATATATTTTATATATCGATTTATAAAAATATTATATATATGTGGCGAATGAACGGACCCCTTACAGCAGAATTTTGGGACGGCAGAGGTTGCTAATCGTACATCGGATGATAGCCTTCATACCCCAAAAGGCAGTCAAACCGGGGGCAAGACCCGTGACTGAGGATCATTCCGATGCATTTTATGACAGGGGGGGTTCCTGGGCGTGTCAGGTATGGAAGAGGTCTCAGGGGTGGCGAGCTTAAGATCATCTGAACACAGAGACAGAGAGACAGAGACAGAGGCAGAGGCAGAGGCAGAGGCAGAAGGCAGAGGCAGAGGCAGAGGGAGACAGAGAAAAGAGGACAGAGAGACATAAGAGAGACAGAAAAGAAGAAGAGCAGAGAAGGCAGTAGAAGAGAGGAACAGAGAAAGAAGGACAGAGAGGGGGAAGAAGAGAAGAGAGCAGATGGACAAAGAGACAGCGACAGAGACAGAGACAGGGACGAGAGTACAGAGAAAAGGCGAGAAGAGAGAGAAAGAGGAAGAAGAGAGAAGACAGAAGAGAGAGAAGAGAGATGAGAGACAGGGGGACAGAGAAGAGAGAGAGGAGACAGAGAAAGAGGACAGGAAAGGAGAGAAGAGAAGAGAGGGAGAGAGACAAGAGAGAGGCGACAGAGAGAGAGAGAGACGATGAGAGAAGAGAAAGAGACCAGAGAGAGGAGAAAAAGACAGAAGGGCAGAGAAGAGACAGAGACAAGAAAGAGAGAAAAGAAAGCGAGAGAGAGGACAGAGGGAGCGAGACAAGAGACAGAGACCAGAGAGAGGAGAGGAGAAGGAAGAAAACGATGAAAGGACTGTCAACAACACAGAGGAAAAACTTTATTGTTCACACTATTATCTGAACAAACAGAGAAAAAACGTTATCTTCAACACAATCAATATACAAAACAAGGCTAGTGTATAAAAGCATTACTCAGTATAATGGAGTTACTGACCCATTATATGGAGGTCTACTGTACCCATTATACTGGAAATCAGGTATCCCTCTATACTGAGAGTTACTGTTACGAACCATTATACTGGAGGTGGACTTACAAAATAACTGGAGTTACTCGTTACTCATTAATGGGTCTTTCTGTACTCATTATACTGGAGTCTACTGACTCATATAATGGAGTCTACTGTACCTTCTATCTATTATCTGGAGTCTACTGTACTCCATTATACTGGAGTCTACTGTACTCTTATACTGGAGTCTACTGTACTCCATTATACTGGAGTCTACTGTATCTACTCTATTATACTGGAGTCTACTGTACTCTACTCTATTATACTGGAGTCTACTGTACTCTACTCTATTATCCTGGAGTCTACTGTACTCTATTATACTGCAGTCTACTGTACGTTACTCTATTATACTGCAGTCTACTGTACGTTACTCTATTATACTGCTAGTCTACTGTACGTTACTCTATTATACTGGAGTCTACTGTACTGTACTCTATTGTACTGTTGTCTCCTCACCCACACAGGCCTAGGTTAAGTTGTGGATAGGTTGGGTTGTGGTTAGGTTGGGTCAGGGTTGTGGTTAAGTACTCACCCACACAGGCCTGCACGGACTGTAGGTGCAGGTGCCACATCTGCAGCACAGAGTTCCTATTCAAGTCCTTCTCTATGACAACCAGGAAGAACTTCTCAGAGAACGGAGTAGGGTGGTACTCTGGAGAGGAGAGAGAAACACAACATCTTTAGAAGTTCTTCAGTTCAGTCATTTATTCATCACTCCATTCATCCAACCATCCGTCCGTCCGTCCGTCCCATACCCTCGGTAGAAGGGTAGGCTGTAGTGTAGAACTCTGGGTCCTCCTGAGGTTTATACCCCAAAATAAAGTCCTCCTGGAAGACATGGAGGAGCTGGGTGGTAGATCCACACTACCAGACACAGAGAGAGATGAGAGTAGAGAGAGAGAGAGAGCGAGAGAGTAGGAGAAGGAGGAGAGGAGAGAGAGAGAGGGACGAGAGAAGAAGAGAGGAGCGATAGCGAACTGGAGAGATCGAGGCAGGAGACGAGAAGAGAGCGATAGCAGAGAGAGAGCGGGAGAGAGAGGGGAAAGAGAGACGCGGGGAGAGCGGAGAAGAGAGAGACGAGAGAGAGAGGAGAGAGAGAGAGAGAGAGAGAGAGAGAGATGAGAGAGCGAGAGAGGGAGAGAGCCGAGAGAGCGAGAGAGAGAGCGAGCGAAAGAGAAAGAGACCGAGAGAGAGAGAGAGAGAGAGAGAGAAAGCGGACAGAGGGAGGGAGAGAGGGAAAAAGAGAGAGAGGGATGTATTTCCCTCAGATTACAAAGTACCACAAAGAATTGGAAAACAAATCAAATTTTGATAAACTCGGTATCTGTTAGGTAAAATACTTCTGCTGTCGTTGAGCCGAACAACACCATTTTCCTGTGACTATATTAATTATGTAGCATGGCCTCTTGACTTATTGCTTAGATAAAGAGACAGTCAGAGACAGGTGTTTCTTACCTGGTTAGTGATGACATCTAGTTCTATGATGCAGCCTGGTCTGGCTGTCGACTGCTGGCTCACTATGTTAAACACCTCTCCTACTAGTTTCTATGGAGAGATAGATGAGAGACAGAGAGAGAGAGAGACAGAGAGAGGGAGGTGTAGGAAAGTTACCAAACAGTGTCTTTAACCAGCTACCTTAAAGCTTTAAAGTTAGAGTCCTTTCAGTCTCAGGATTTCAGCACTGTTAATCTGACTGAGTGCATCTGTACGTGTGTCTGTGTGTCTGTCTCTGTGTGTACTTACTGAGGTCTCAGGGTCTGACAGTTCGTCCAGCAGTTTCCTGGCGTCCACCACAGCCTGGTAGAGACGCAGGTTCTTACCGTCTGACGCGACGAAGCATGCACTGGAACTGTTACAGTACGTACCTGGAGGGAGGGAGGGAGGGAGGGGAGCGAGAGAGAGAGATGCTGTTTTTAATGTGGGAGCTCGGAGTAAGATTTTGCATGTAGTTAGTATACAGTTGAAGTCGGAAGTTTACATTTAAACTCAGTTTTTCACAATTCCTGACATTTAATCCTAGTAAAAATTCCCTGTCTTAGGTCAATTAGGATCACCACTTGATTTATTTCAGCTTTTATTTCTTTCATCACATTCCCAGTGGGTCAGAAGTTTACATACACTCAATTAGTATTTGGTAGCATTGCCTTTAAATTGTTTAACTTGGGTCAAACGTTTCGGGTAGCCTTCCACAAGCTTCCCACAATAAGTTGGGTGAATTTTGGCCCATTCCTCCTGACAGAGATGGTGTAACTGAGTCAGCTTTGTAGGCCTCCTTGCTCGCACATGCTTTTTCAGTTCTGCCCACAAATGTTCTATAGGTTTGAGGTCAGGGCTTTGTGATGGCCACTCCAATACCTTGACTTTGTTGTCCTTAAGCCATTTTGCCACAACTTTGGAAGTATGCTTGGTGTCATTGTCCATTTGGAAGACCATTTGCGACCAAGCTTTAACTTCCTGACTGATGTCTTGAGATGTTGCTTCAATATATACACATAACTTTCCTTCCTCATGATGCCATCTATTTTGTGAAGTGCACCAGTCCCTCCTGCAGTAAAGCACCCCCACAGCATGATGACGCCACCCCCGTGCTTCACGGTTGGGATGGTGTTCTTCGGCTTGCAAGCATCCCCCTTTTTCCTCCAAACATAATGATGGTCATTATGGCCAAACAGTTCTATATTTGTTTCATCAGACCAGAGGACATTTCTCCAATAAGTACGATCTTTGTCCCCATGTGCAGTTGCAAACCGTAGTCTGGCTTTTTTATGGTGGTTTTGGAGCAGTGGCTTCTTCCTTGCTGAGCGGCCTTTCAGGTTATGTCGATATAGGACTCGTTTTACTGTGGATATAGATACTTTTGTACCTGTTTCCTCCAGCATCATCACAAGGTCCTTTGCTGTTGTTCTGGGATTGATTTGCACTTTTCGCACTAAAGTACGTTCATCTCTAGGAGACAGAACGCGTCTCCTTCCTGAGGGGTATGACGGCTGCGTGGTCCCATGGTGTTTATACTTGCGTACTATTGTTTGTACAGATTAACGTGGTACCTTCAGGCGTTTGGAAATTGCTCCCAAGGATGAACCAGACTTGTGGAGGTCTACAATTATTTTTCTGAGATCTTGGCTGATTTCTTTTGATTTTCCCATGATGTCAAGCAAAGAGGCACTGAGTTTGAAGGTAGGCCTTGAAATACATCCACAGGTATACCTCCAATTGACTCAAATGATGTCAATTAGCCTATCAGAAGCTTCTAAAGCCATGACATCATTTTCTGGAATTATCCAAGCTATTTAAAGGCACAGTCAACTTAGTGTATGTAAACTTCTGACCCACTGGAATAGTGATACAGTGAATTATAAGTGAAATAATCTGTCTGTAAACAATTGTTGGAAAAATTACTTGTGTCATGCACAAAGTAGATGTCCTAACTGACTTGCCAAAACTATAGTTTGTTAACAAGACATTTGTGGAGTGGTTGAAAAAAACGAGTTTTAATGACTCAAACCTAAGTGTATGTACACTTACGACTTCAACTGTATATGCCCAATAATATTGCAACTTGAACACCTATAGGTGTCGCCAAACCACCCCTTGACAATCATTGACTACTTCACCAGTACCTTGTCTGAACATGTGATACACACATGAACACCAGATATACATTATATACATCCTCCAACAATACGCTTAATTCCAGTGTGTGTGTGTACTAACCTAGCACAGAGCTGGGTACCAGGGTAGGCAGCCATGCCACATTGGAGAAGGCTGATGTGTGTAGGGAGTTGATTCGGGCCAGCTCTGACACCCCTCCAGTGCAGGACAGGGGTCCGATGTGGTCCACCCTCCACAGAATCAGCTCACTGTAGATGGCGTTAGGGTCATGGAACGTCCTGGTGGCCGCGTTACGCAGCTGCTTCCTAGGGGGATCACACACACACAGAGTTGGTCACACACACAGTTTGTCACACACACGTTACTGATCGTCAAAGACAGAGTTTATGTTACACACACATCAGTGTTTCCTCTGCATTCATTTAAGTGTGGCGCTGCGCCATGGCAGAATCATTGCCGCCACACCAAAATAAACATCCTATTTCTACCAAACATAGTTTCAATAAAGTTCTGTAAAGCACATTCGCTTTTCTTGGTAAATAGATAATCTGTCTGGGTTCAACACAGTGAAGGATATTTAGCTCTGCGAGCTGTGGCAGGCAGCCTGCAACTCAAGAAACACAGCGTGCCAGTGACCAGTGTGTGAGTGACCAGTGCTCGATACAGACGCTCTGCAGCGCCAAACACAATTCACTTGAATCACTTCAGAATGCACCTGCGTGAGAAACGGCACGCCAGGGACCAGCGCGCGAGCGACCAGTGCCCAATACAGAAACTCTGTGTTGGATAAACTAAAACAAACAGCTATTAATGACTTATTTTCTGTTTTGTGCTGTAATTAGGTAATGGATCCATATCTTGTTGGCCTCCAGGACAGCCTAAACCAGAGAATCCAACACCTGGAGATTCTGGGCTCCTTCAGTGTGTTGGGACCTCAGGGTGCGTTCTCTAGTGAGAGGATAAACACCTTTATCCTGACTCTCCTCTCCAGGCAGTTATTGCAAGTGCCAGAGGCTGCTGCGCTGCAAGAGTGGCCCTCTTACAAGCAACGTGCTAGTTGGAGCATTCAAGGTATGGCATGAATGTGACAATCTTTTGAAGATAACATTTTAGGCCAGTGTTGCCCAACCCTTTTTCCTCTTGAACTACCACTCTGTTGGCTCTTCTTTAATGTTGTACATCTTTTAGTTTTTCATGTATTTCAGGGGTTGGACCAGCTGATGGCAATGACAAAGCTGGCCTCGCAGTTTGATGAGTGGGGGCAGCTCTACCCCTGCCTTAACCAGCTGGCAGCAATCGCACTGACTATACCAGTGTCTTCTGTTAATTGGGAGAGACCTCCCCCCCGCCCCCCTTAAACCCCCGCTAACTTTTCCCCCACAGCTAACACATTTGAGAGGAAACACTGACATACATGCTTGCAGGCATGAGCACACACACACACGTAAGTAGTTATGATACACACTCACGTGAACATTATGTAAACACACACACACTTTCTAGACATAGAGGGTCATAGAGGGTCCTCGTTGCTTCCACCTATGACACACACACACACACACACACACTTCCTTCCTCCCTACCTGCGCAGTCCTCTGGGGGGAGGTGTGTGTGTGTGTGGCTGGTCGAGGTCGATGCTGCTGGGGGCGGAGGGGGGGGTGAGGAGAGCGTTGTGGTGGGAGGAGGTCAGCAGTAGAGGGAGGACCGTGTGACACGCCTGGTCGTTGAGGTGGAACCGGTGACCGCAGTAACGGAACTTATGAGACACGGTCAGAACGTTGGAGAACGCAGAGCGCTCAGCGAACGTCACCGCCCACTAGAGAGGGAAACGGATTGAAAGGAAAACTTTATTGAGCCACAAAATGTCTATACACAAGTTTATTCAACATTATTTATCAGAGTATGACATTATTAGAGGGATTATTATTATTATTAGTTTTTACTTTATATGGCTGTAGTTTGTCTTTTAAGCATTAATCTAAGGACCTCAATACCCTTATGAGCCCTGGTCAAAAGTAGTGCACAACATGGGGAATAAGGTGCCATTTGGGACGCAGCCACAGTCTGCCTCTCCCGCTCACCTGATTGAGAGACCCGTCCACATGTTTGGACACCATCATGACAGCGGGGCCGATGCCTGGGGCTTGGGCCAGGGAGAGGCTGAGGGCTGAGGAGCCCAGCCCAGCAGAGGCAGAATGGGGCAAACGGCGGGCCCTCCTCCCCTGCTCCCCCCCGGCGTTGGAGCTATCCATGTCAGAGAAGGAGCAGGCGTACATCAGAATGTTCTTACTCAGGGAGTTGGCGTCGCCTGTAGGGAACGCCACTGGGATACGGGACGAGAACGACACCTGGAGAAAGAGGGATGGAGAGAGGGATGAGAGAGAGAATAGTCAGATTGGAGCATCATTCTGCTTCCTCTTGTGTGGGGTTAATGCTGGTTGGTGTGTGTCCATGTACAATACGTGTGTTTATCCCTGTCCGTGCGTGTTGCTCCATGTGCATTCTCCTCTTACCTGCACCTGTCTGAAGATACCCTGGATGTACTCGTCCAGGTATTTGACGTGCCAGACCAGGAAGGATCCGTCGGTGGGGTGGATGGTAAACAGCATGTCAGGACTCTTATTCCACTCCAGAGTTAAAGTCTCCATCTTCCTATCCAGCAACATGGAGGGCAGGGGCACTGAGCTACTGGAGCCTGGCGACGATGCCTTGGTGCTGCCTTCACCACCCTCACCCTCCTCACCATGCTCTGATGAACCCTTCTCTGACATCTCATCTAGGTCTGGAGAGAGAGAGGGAGGGAGGGGTGGAAGGAAGGTGGAGGGAAGAGGGGAGGGTGGAAAAGGGGGGGAAGGAAGGGGAGGTGAGGTGGATGGTGGAGGTTGTCAGGGTTGGAAGGAAGGAAGAGGGAGGGTAGGTAGGGAGGGAAGGATTGAGTGAGTTATGGATTGTTTCTTGCTTTGGGCTGTCGTTCTTTCGTTCTTCTTTTCACCTTGTTTACTTAGTTGGTGGGAGGGAAAGTATGGAGTCAGACACAGACAGAATATGACATGTCAGTGTGTATAGAATACCTCAGACAGACTGATATTAGCCAGATGTATTTCAAAACTCGACAACAGTTTTGCACTGGGTCAGCTACTCAGAACTAGTTTATATCATAGCTACGATATCTACTATAGGTGGTTCTGTGTGACTCAGTTGGTAGAGCATGGCACTTGCAACGTCAGGATCGTGGGTTCAATCCCATAGGAACATGTATGCACACAGTACTGTTACTAGCTTTGGGAAAACGTGTCTGCTTGACGCATATTATTATGAAGGATCACTGCATTTCATGTTGTCATGATAAACAAGACCCCACAAAACATGTCTCTCACAACAACAAAAATATGTAGATCTGAGGGGTTTCTGAAATAGATCGTACCAAAGTCAAACTTAATGGGGGAGCCATCCTGGTCGAGGGGGTCGTCGGTGGCTTGGTCCAGCTGCTGTTCTGAGAGCTTGCGGAGCTGCTGCATGAACAGGTCCATGGAGGAGGTGAAGGACAGGTCCTTGTTGTTGAGCCAGTGGACCACAAACCCTCCTCCTCCACCACCGTCCTCCGGAGTAAACACTGCAGACTCCGCTAGCACCGCTGGGATGTCTGGGGGGAGGAGACAGAGAGAGAAAAGGGGCGGGTATATTACTATGCATGTGGGAGGAATATAGGAACAAGGTAAGGCTGATGTTCCTAGTTCAGTGTGTGCGTGTGTGTATGCCTGAGGCGGAGAGAGTGTGTGTGTCTAGCTGTATGTATGTGTATGTCTGATGCAGTGTGTGTGTGTGTGTGCTACGTACCTGTGGCAGGGTTGATGCTGGCAGAGATGTGGAAGTGACAGAGAGCGTTAGCGTGGTGAGAGATGTGGCGGTGGGTGTGTGTCTCGTGGGTCCCCATCTGAGACGGCAGCAGATCAGTGTGAGCTACCAGGGCAGACGACCTCCGACGACCACGACGCAGGTGCTTCAGGTGGCTCATCGACTGGCCAATGAGAGGACAGGTGTGTGTGTGGCACGGGGAGGACCAATGACAGGGCAGGGGGCGGGACAGGAAGAGAGAAGAGAAGCGTCATATTATTGAAGTCCTTCATATCAATCTGTTCTATATCTCTGTGCATTTTTTAATGACTAACTAATAAAGTGTACATTCAAAATTAAAACTACAAAGTTTATTTGAAGAACACATTTTGTGCGTGTGTGTGTGTGTGTGTGTGTGTACTGTGTGTGTGTGTGTGTGTGTGTGTGTGTGTGTGTGTGTGTGTACTGTGTGGTCTACCTCCAGGGCGTGTGTATGTGTGTGTGTGTGTGTGTGTGTACTGTGTGGTCTACCTCCAGGGCGTGTGTGTGTGTGTGTGTGTGTGTGTACTGTGTGGTCTAACTACCTCCAGGGCGTGTTGTATCTTGTCCTTGCCCCCCAGGCCTGGCAGACTGGAGCTGTAGGAGTGTGTGTTCTCAGTGATCTGACCACCCAGGATACTGTCCTCTGGCAGCACCGTCTCAGACCACAACCTACACACACCGTCCTCACACGACGTCAACAACACGTTACACACACTACCCCTGGAGAGCGAAGAGAGGGGGGGAGAAAAAGAGAGAGATAGAGAGAGAGAGAGAGAGAGAGAGAGAGAGGGGGAGAATGAGAGAGAGACACATACAGAACATCATTTTATATTGATGGTTGACAGTTTAGTAGATAGATGGCACTAATCTTTCCATTCGTATGGGATTGAGACATTCAAAAACACAGAGCTGAATCTATACAACAGATGTAGATTAGAATATACAATCAGCTTGACTTATTTTCCAAGAAACGTTTTTTTCCATTTAAAACGTATGGAAACGTCTGTGTGTGTGTGTGCGCGCGCATTGGTGTGTTGGTCCTTTGTGTGTGTGTGTGTGTGTGTGTGTGTGTGTGTGTGAGAGAGTGCATGTTCTTACTTGGGCATGTATTTGCTGGTCTTCCTCCAGGACAGGCCGGTGACAGAGCGGGGGTGTGCCAGGTATATGAAGGAGAAGTGGACCTGAGGGCCTTTCTTATCTGGGAGGTCTGAGACCACTACAGCAGAGCGCCACCCATTGGTGGGGTACCACACCTTCAACAGACAGTCATCCTAGAGAGAGAAACACACAGGTGAGACAGACACACATACACACACACGAGACAGATGCGCGCACACACACGCAGGCACACACACACACACACACACACACAGGTTGGTGAAGTACCAAGCACAATGGCTACACTTGATCCTGAATAAACGATCACAAAGTCTTGATTGAACCTTACTACCTGTTTATTACTCTACAGGTGTTAGAGGAGAATCAACATTACTACCTGTTTATTACTCTACAGGTGTTAGAGGAGAATCAACATTACTACCTGTTTATTACTCTACAGGTGTTAGAGGAGAATCAACATTACTACCTGTTTATTACTCTACAGGTGTTAGAGGAGAATCAACATTACTACCTGTTTATTACTCTACAGGTGTTAGAGGAGAATCAACATTACTACCTGTTTATTACTCTACAGGTGTTAGAGGAGAATCAACATTACTACCTGTTTATTACTCTACAGGTGTTAGAGGAGAATCAACATTACTACCTGTTTATTACTCTACAGGTGTTAGAGGAGAATCAACATTACTACCTGTTTATTACTCTACAGGTGTTAGAGGAGAATCAACATTACTACCTGTTTATTACTCTACAGGTGTTAGAGGAGAATCAACATTACTACCTGTTTATTACTCTACAGGTGTTAGAGGAGAATCAACATGAGTAAGTAGAAAACATTTATGACATGATTGGGATATTGACAGTATGTGGAAACAAGATATCGCCTGTAAAATGTTAGCTTTCGAGTGAGTGAGGTGAGGTGAGTGAGTGAGAGTGAATGAGTGAGTGTACCTTGCCGGCTGTTGCAAAGTATTCCCCATCAGGAGACCACTTGGTGATGTGAACAGACATTGCAGTCCTGGAGAGGGGGAGAGAGAGAGAGAGATAGACAGATTGAGAGAAATAGAGAGAGAGCGAGAGAGAGTTCAGCTGCTTTAACTTCTCTTTGGGAAACTCAGTAAAACAGCAACAGTCATTCAACACCCCTCACTTCTTCCACAAAATCATGTTTACAGTTTTTACCTCAAAAAGGTGGTTCCCCAGTTTCAATACATGACTTGATTTTAATATTGAAATTCCATCATTTTGTGTTTTGTTGATGGTGGTGGAAAACGCTGTCTCAGGTGCCGCTTCAGAATCTCCCATACGTGTTCAATTGGGTTAAGATCTGGTGACTGAGACGGCCCTGGCATATGGTTTACATCGTTTTAATGTGCCCGGTGGATGGGGGCATTGTCATCCTATGGGGGCATAGCCATGGTAGCCAAAATAATGGCCAAAATAATGGCCTGCCCAGCATTTTTATACATGACCCTAAGCATGATGGGATGTTAATTGCTTAATTAACTCAGGAGCCACACCTGTGTGGAAGCACCTGCTTTCAATATTACATTTACATCATTTAGCAGACGCTCTTATCCAGAGCAACTTACAAATTGGTGCATTCAACTTATGATTATACTTTGTATCCCTCATTTACTCAAGTGTTTCCATTATTTTGACAGTTACCTGTACATTTTAATCACAATGAGACCTAGTTAAAAGGACAAAGACCTAGTGAGACAGTGTGGGAGTTGTTTATCAGTGTAGTTCTCTAGAACACTAGGAGAGAGTACAGAAAACACCAACTACAGAATAGGAGTTGGAACTCTGACTGGGTGGTTTTAGTAGACTGACTGACTGACATTAAGTGTTGGGAAACTCTTTCAGACTCACACTTCCCCATTCCAGGACAGTCACACACCAACATGCTGAGTCAGTATCAGCTGCTTATCACTGTGTCAAACATTTCCCTGTTTTAAAGGTAGACTCGGCTAAATGACGTTGCCACGAGCAGTCACCGCAGATATTGAGCTGAGGGAGATGCAAGACTTTGCTCTCACACAGTCACACACAGTATCTGTGGATGTGTTCTCCTCACGCTATTACAGCGTGGTAGCCAGGGGACCAAAACAGTGGAGAAGTTGAGCCTCACGCTTCAACGCTCTTTGTTGTTGTGGAAATTAACCCACTATGCCGTTTACTTTCTGCATCTACGTCTGCATCTGAGTCTACCTTTAAAGCTGCAATATGGAACTTTTTAGGCGACCCAAACAAATTCACATAGAAATGTGAGTTACAGATCTGTCATTCTCAATGAAAGCAAGTCTAAGAAGCGGAAGATCTGTGCTATATGCTTAAGTTTCATTTTTGAGTCTTTTACTTTCGGTTTTGTACAACAGCTTCAAACAGCTGAAAATACAATATATTTGGTTCTGGAAAATATATTTCACAGCGGTTTAGATGTTACAATGATTCTCTACACTATACTTGCTTGTTTTGTCACATAAACTGAAATTAGGCGAATTATTAGAATTTTTGTGACCAGGAAATGGCGGAGTGATTTCTGCATTTACCCACTATGCTGTTTACTTTCTGCATCTACATCATATTGCTGAGACTACCTTTAAAGAGCACTAACGATCTACAGGCCTGATATGTCTACTTAACACTTTAAAAGCACTACACACACACACACACACACACACACACACACGGTGCTCCTGTCACTCACTTGCACTGCCAGACACACTTCCAGTCGTTGAGGACAGGGTGAGGTTTGTCATCTGTCATCGGTCCCTCCTCCTCCTCTATCAGTGTGTCTGCTGACGGAGGGGCCCACAGCTGCAGGCGCTCTGTAGCCGCCACAATACGGTTCCCTACAGGACACACACATTGTTCAAATGGCTACATGGTTTCCTGTATCCCCGCACATTGACTTGGTACTGGTACCCCCTGTATATAGCCTCATTATTATATGTGTTACTTTTTATTTTATTTTTTACTTTAGTTTATTTAGTAAATATTTTCTTAACTCTTATTTTTCTTAAAACTGCATTGTTGGTTAAGGGATTGTAAGTAAGCATTTCACGGTAAGGTCTACTCCTGTTGTAATTTGATTTGAAGATATGTCACAGTTATAAACAGATACTTACTGTCCACACAGAGACACACACACACACGACTGTTAGTTAGGAGGTGTTACCTTGTGGGTCCCAGGCCAGGTTATAGGTGATAGCATTAAGGAAGAACTGTCCTGTCTTTTGCCACTGGTAGTTAAGCTGCTGTTAGACAGAGCGGCAGAGACAGAAGGAGAGGGGGAAAAGAGAGAGGTGGGGGGGGGAAGACACAGGAGGAGACAACATAGAGTGGAAAGAGAGAGAGAGAGAGAGGTGGGGGGGAGGAAGACACAGGAGGGGAGGAAATCATAGGATGGAAAAGACGAGAAGAGAGGAGAGGGTGGTGGGGAGTCGAGTGTGAGGTTGAGGATAGGAGAGAGAGGTGGGTAAGAAGAAGAGTTGTGACGGGTGAGATAGATATGAGAGAGAGAAGAGAGGAGAGAGAGAGAGAGAGAGAGAGAGAGAGAGAGAGAGAGAGAGAGATGGGAAGAAGAGAGTGTGAGGTGAGAGAGAGAGAGGATAGTTAGTCAACACATGCACAGGCATTCAGCTATAATAAGCTACATGCTCAGGCACCAGCCACTGTTAATACAGTCATTAACAGCCACACACAATTCAGAACATGAACAGAATATTCAGGGTTGATAAAATAGCACAATAGAACAGTAATAAAGCAGTTAAAACACAGTGGAACTCTCAATGCAGCAACACACAAACTCTCACACACACACACACACACGCACACAAACTCTCACACACACAGCAGTTTATTCTGCATAACATGTCAGTGTCTCTCTGCTTACCTTGTGGCGTTTGTTTGGGTTGGTAGCGAATGGTTCAAAGATACACACAGTGTTCCCATAGGATGCTGCGATCTACACAAACAGAGTAACGTTCAATATCCCAACATTAATCAGTAGTTTTACAAACATTACTCACACCAGGGTTAATACTGCACAGTCATTCCCAAAGGAGAGGGGGAGGGAGGAGGAGACGGAGGGAGGAGGAGAACAGAACAGAAATGCATTTGTCATCACAACATTATTACTTACTAGTGTAACTAACAGGTTTTCTGTGTGTGTGTGACTTACCCTGCCCAGTTGGTGGGAGCACTCGACACAGCCCACCTGGATGTTGCCATTTTGAGCCCCAGGGATGATCTGAACACACTCAAAATCACTGGCCAAGATGACTATATCACAGCCTGAACCATAGGCCTGGGATGGGGGGGGGGGGGGGGGGGGGGGGGGAGACATAGAGACACAGAGACAGAGACAGAGACAGAGACAGAGACAGAGAGACAGAGAGACAGAGAGACAGAGAGACAGAGAGAGAGAGAGAGAGAGACAGAGAGAGAGAGACAGAGAGAGAGAGAGAGAGAGAGACAGAGAGACAGAGAGAGAGAGAGAGAGAATTCAGTCAATTTAACAAAATGCAAGACACTTTGAGACTCTAGTGACAACAGCAGCCTGGCCCCACCTCAGATTGTGCCATATTCCCAATTTGCTGAGACAATGACCAAAAGAGTTATCAGGACAGCACAAACAGATCTGGGACCAGGCTCCACATACAGTCCACTCCTGATAGGTAAATAGACCTACTGAGACTGCCTGGTGAACTGCACTGTACTCAAACAGAGAGAGAGAGACAGAGAGGCTACAGTACAGCAACTATACCTCTATCACATCACATGCTTAGAAAAAGCGTGTCCCCCAAATGGCACCCTATTCCTTATATAGTGCACTACTTTTGACCAGGGTCCATAGGGATGCAAGGGAATAAGGGTGCCATTTGAGAAGCAGCCTAAGCCTCCATGTTTTATTCAGGCTAGTGGTTAGGTAATGATGGGTTCTCTTAGAACAGGTCCCATGTTTCCAGGTCTACACAGTCTAGTCAGCTTCTGGTTTGGTTTCTGGTTCCATGGAAAGACGCAGCGTTGTTCACGTGAGAAGAGAGGTGTGTTGAGAAAGATTTTAGGGCACAAGATGTGAGACGTGAGAGGTGTTTAGAACAGTGACTCCGCAACGAATAGAGGCTGAAGAGAGAGGGAGGAGAGAGGGAGAGAGGAGGGAGAGATACAAGCTGAGGAGAGAGGGAGAGAGGAGGAGAGAGGAGGGAGAGATAGAAGCTGAAGAGAGAGGGAGGACAGAGGGAGAGAGGAGGGAGAGAGAAGTGAGAGAGAGGGAGAAGAGAAGGGAGGAGAGATGAGGAAGGAGAGGAGAGGAGAGAGAGGAAGAGAGAGGGAGGGAAGAGGAGAGGGAGAGAAGAGGAGAGAGAGAAGGAGGAGAGAGGAGAGGAGAGGAGAGAGAAGAGAGGAGGGAGGAGAAGAGGAAGGAGGAGAGAGAGAGAGAGGAGGAAGAGGGAGGAGAGAGGGAGAGAGGAGAGAGGGAGGAGAGAGAGAAGCTGGAGAGAGGGAGGAGAGGAGAGAGAGGAGGGAGAGATAGAAGCTGAAGAGAGAGGGAGGAGAGAGGAGGAGAGAGAAGAGTGAAGAGGGAGGGAGAGAGAGGGAGAGAGGGGAGGAGTAGAAGAGAGAGGGAGGAGGAGGGAGAGAGGGAGAGAGGAGGGAGAGATAGAAGCTGAAGAGAGAGGGAGAGAGAGGGAGAGAAGAGCGAAGAGAGGGAAGAGAAGAGAGAAACAGAGGGGAGAGAGGAGGGAGAGAGAAGCGAGAGGGAGAAGGGAGAAGAGAGAGAGGAGAGAGGGAGAGAGAGAGAGAGATAGAAAAGCTGAAGAGTAGAGGGAGGAGAGCAGAGCGAGGAGAGAGAGGGAGAGATAGAAGCTGAAGAGAGGGGGGAAGGAGAGAGAGAGCTGCGAGGAGGAGAGGAGAGAGCGAGAGAGGAAGAGAGAGAGAGCGGAGAGGATAAAGACTGAGAGAGGGAGGAGAGAGAATGTGTGTGATAGAACAGAAGAGAGAGTAGAGGGAGAGAGATCAAGACAGGAGAGGGACAGAGCAGTTGAAGAGAAAGAGGAAGTAAAGGCGGAGAGAGAATGCGTGTGTAAAAAGGAGGGAGAGGGTAGGAGAGGAGCAGTCCTAGTTGAGGTTTTGCTGCAGCAGCTGAACATTACAGCTGGAATTAAAAGCGGTCACCGTCACGCACAGGCTAGCCCTGTTCTACTCACCTGGACACACACACACAGGCTAGCTCTGCTCTACTCACCTGGACACACACACACACACACACACACACACACACACACACGAGGAGGGATGAGGCATGTGTGATTGAGAGACCACTCTGTTCTGTACCTGTACAAAGTAAGGTGTGTGTGTGTGTCATCGATCTACATGAACCTGATACAACAGAAACAACCACTCAGCTCATCACGTCTGTCCAAACACCTCTCACCTTGCCTCTGCCTGTCTGCCTGCCTGTCTGCCTGCCTGTCTGCCTGTCTGTCTGCCTGTCTGCCTGCCTTTTGGCAAGAGCGCTCAAAGGCCATTTGGGATGCAGCCTATAGTAGCCTAAATCCCCTCACAAAGCCAGTGTTTAGGTGGTCTAACATAAAACTGCATCACACATAGCTGACTGCACTGCCAGACCAGTCAGGGTTGGCAACACATGACCAAGGCATCAATAACAATGCCCTGAATGCAGGGAGTACGAATGAGGCCTATTATATGAAATATGAGAAGAGATGTTGGCTGAAGACTGCACTCATTTCATCAGGGTAAATACTCATATAATAGAGACAGGGAGACTGAGTTCACAATACCAGCCCACACACACCGCACAAATACACACACACACAAAGAAAGAAAACACTATACGCAGACACACACAAGCACGCACGGACACACACACACTTAAACAAGCTACACACAGACACACACACCATACACAGCTGTCACCTACAGAACAACCCACAGTCAGGTAGGTCCCCTCACATTTACTACCCGAGTGACTTTAACATATTATCGATTTGTGTACCATTGACAGCAGTTGGATTCACCCCCTGTTGGATGTGAAGATCTTAAATGGTGGTTGAATAATGGATCTGTCTGGCTCCATCTTGGGAGTGTCACATAGTTAACCCTGACCAGGGCTCTAGGCTGCTTTCTTCACAAGGAGCACGTGTAGGAGCACACAAAGAAATGTAGGAGCACAATGAAAACTATTTCAGATATTAAAGCTGGAATCGTTCATTTTTCTAGGCGCACTGGTGCTCTTAAATATATATTTCAGGTCGCACAGTAAAATAAATAGGAGCATATGCGAGTAAAATGCTTGCACTGTAGAGCCCTGCTGTGGGTGGGTGTGGGTGTGTGTGTGTGTACGTGCGCGCACGCGTCCCAAATGTCAGTGATTCTTCCCATGACTAACTCAATCATGCGAGCATATTAGTGTATCACTACAGACACGCTTTACATGAACTAAACCCTCTCCTTTCACTACAGACACGCTTTACATGAACTAAACCCTCTCCTTTCACTACAGACACGCTTTACATGAGCTAAACCCTCTCCTTTCACTACAGACACGCTTTACATGAACTAAACCCTCTCCTTTCACTACAGACACGCTTTACATGAACTAAACCCTCTCCTTTCACTACAGACACGCTTTACATGAGCTAAACCCTCTCCTTTCACTACAGACACGCTTTACATGAACTAAACCCTCTCCTTTCACTACAGACACGCTTTACATGAGCTAAACCCTCTCCTTTCACTACAGACACGCTTTACATGAACTAAACCCTCTCCTTTCACTACCGACACGCTTTACATGCACTAAACCCTCTCCTTTCACTACAGACACGCTTTACATGAACTAAACCCTCTCCTTTCACTACAGACACACTTTACATGAGCTAAACCCTCTCCTTTCACTACAGACACACTTTACATGAACTAAACCCTCTCCTTTCACTACAGACACGCTTTACATGAACTAAAGCCTCTCCTTTCACTACAGACACGCTTTACATGAGCTAAACCCTCTCCTTTCACTACAGACACGCTTTACATGAACTAAACCCTTTCCTTTCACACACAATATGGCATCCTATTCCCTTTATAGTACACTACTTTAGACCAGGGACAACAACTATAGAAAACAACACTAGAGCCTGTAGGTCTGTCTGTCTGTCTGTCTGTGTGCGTGTAAAATGTGGCGACGGACAATGTGACCGGGAAGATTTTGATTTACCAGCCATTTGTATAACCCATTAGGGCGTTCACCCACGGTGCTCAAAATGTCACAGATTATGGTAATTAATACATATTAACAGAACATGCAACTCATGTAATGAAGCAGCCAATAAAATGTAATTTTCAAACATTTGCCAAAACGCAATTCGAGGAAAAACACCATTTTAAAACAGAGCACCTGGGAAAACACCATTCTAAACAGAGCACCTGGGAAAACACCATTCTAAACAGAGCACCTGGGAAAACACCATTCTAAACAGAGCACCTGGGAAAACACCATTCTAAACAGAGCACCTGGGAAAACACCATTCTAAACAGAGCACCTGGGAAAAACACCATTCTAAACAGAACACCTGGGAAAAACCATTCTAAACAGAGCACCTGGGAAAACACCATTCTAAACAGAGCACCTGGGAAAACACCATTCTAAACAGAGCACCTGGGAAAACACCATTCTAAACAGTGCATCTGATAGCGGTTCCATATGTGACAGAGATGGAAATCTCTGTTAGAAACACAGAAAGAGCCTAAAGATGCAGCAACTAGGATGGGTTGCTAATATGATTACAATCGTGCCTTGGGCTTCTGGACAACGAAAGAAAGTTGATATGAAAACCAATAGAACAGGAGAGAAATGGCATAGAGGTGGGTGCAATAGGGAAGTAAATGGAAATACATTTGCAAACATTATATAATTACTCCTGTATATACAGAAATAAATAAAATCATTCAAAATACTTCACAAGAAAGCATGACTTAGCCAAAGAGGAATCGAGGATCATTAGCTTCTTTAAAGAAATAGCTGTGGATTGTTTCAAATCAAAAGCTTGTAGGCCTATGTCCGCAATTTGGGCAGCGCACTTGGCAATAGGCCTAGCTGATTATTGAGTCGCGGCTGTCAGTAAAAAGCATCTAAAATACGTGTGAAGATAATGCGTCTGGAGTATTATTTTTGATGTTGAGACAAGAAGAAGGGGAGGGGTGAGTGGAATAGATACAGGAACGTCCCTCTCCAGAATGGCTCAGCCGTCACCAGACAGTTCTTGCCCATTCACTGTTTCGTTGTGTGAATTGTTTGCCCTTAGGTATTTGTTATATTATTCCCCATTACAAATGTCACCAGTAGTAAATGTACCTTTAATCCCCGTAATTTGATTACATTAATTTATGTTATGTTAACGCATGTATTAATTACAGTAATTTACCATTCTCAGAGTGGAAAGGTTGTTTCAGAGTTCACAACCTGCTACACTTGTGAGTAAAAACTGTTGGTTTATTTCATAACCATCATTCATTTTTTCATAGTCTTTTGTTTGGAGTGCTCCATGTGAGCGTTGAGCATGCGTGTGGTTTCTCTGTCCTGATAATGTTGAGGTAGCGCGCATGCCTGAGCACTCATAGAAGTACGTGGCCTGCTGCGCGGAAATGTAGGAAATATTTCTTTTTACATCCATTGCGAATGATAATATATTTAAACTATAGTTCCTCACAGTAAGCTATTTGAAAAATCTTTCCAACAATCTCCCCATCAAAAATCACAATTTCTCGGTGAGAAAGAGCAATGGAAGTTATAGGCCTACTGCTGCGTTGGCCTGTACACTATAATGAATTTATTTTGGCGCCAATGGATCAAGGTGTATCAATGTGTCCATATGGCAGAGGCTGGTGATCTCTCATTAGTTGACTTAATTAAAATGATGAACATCTAAAAGTTTAGATTTTTATGATTAACCACATGACAATGATTGAGAAACGAAACGTTATTATTGAAATGAAACTGTTCTGTGAAAATGTGCATATGAAAATCATAACTGGCAGAACAGTAGAAATGGTAGGATCAATTGTAAGCTTGCCCAAACTTGAAATTCACGAGCCGCCTATGAAGTCTTTATAAAATAATTGCCCCCACGTTTCCATGGTCGGATTCTATCTATAGGCTACTTTGAAGCAAGGTTAGACATGCTTCATAATACGATATAAAACATTCAAGCTTCAAACAATTAAATATGTTTTCAAAATGCATACTGCCTCCAGCTGACATTGTAAAGTGGTGGGTGACGCGCTGATAGCCGGTTTCCTGCACCTGAATGGTGAATGGGAGGCGCGCTTCAATTACCTGTTGAGAAATAAAAATAGTAGCTCTTTTTAATCATGCACCAAAAGTGTTTTTAAACACAAGATTGCAATTGTTGCGCAATGAATGGGCTTACAACAGCGCATGTTTTACTCCAGCAGAAACCAGCTGAGGGGCTGCAGGAGAAATCCCGCTCAAAATAGGCTGTGCAAGTGTGATAGTTGTGTTGGATAAATAAGATACACAGCATGGCCGAAAGTATGTGGACACCCCTTCAAATTAGTGGATTCGGCTATTCCAGTCACACCCGTTGCTGACAGGTGTATAAAATCGAGCACACAGCCATGCAATCTCCATAGACAAACATTGGCAGTAGAATGGCCCGTTCTGAAAAGCTCAGTGACTTTCAACGTGGCCACCTTTCCAACAAGTAAGTTCGTCAAATTTCTGCCCTGCTAGAGCTGCCTCGGTCAACTGTAAGTGCTGTTATTGTGAAGTGGAAACGTCTAAGAGCAACAACGGCTCAGCCGCTCAGTGGTAGGCCACACAAGCTCACAGAACGGGACCACCGAGCACCGAAGTGCGTAGCGCGTAAAAATTGTCTGTCCTCGGTTGCAACACTCACTACCGAGTTCCAAACTGCCTCCAGAAGCAACATCAGCACAATAACTGTTCGTCGGGAGCATCATGAAATGGGTTTTGTTGGCCGAGCAGCCGCACACAAGTCTAAGATCACCATGCGCAATGCCAAGCGTTGGCTGGAGTGGTGTAAAGCTCCCCGCCATTGGACTCTGGAGCAGTGTAAAAGTGTGATGAATCACGCTTTACCATCTGGCAGTCCGACTGACAAATCTGGGTTTGGTGGATGCCAGGAGAACGCTACCTGCCCCAATGCATAGTGCCAACTGTAAAGTTTGGGAGAGGAGGAATAATGGTCTGGGACTGTTTTTCATGGTTCGGGCTAGGCCCCTTAGTTCCAGTGAAGGGAAATCTTAACGCTACAGCATACAGTGACATTCTAGACGATTCTGTGCTTCCAACTTTTTGGCAAAGGCCCTCTCCTGTTTCAGCATGACAATGCCCCTGTGCACAAAGTGAGGTCTATACAGAAATGGTTTGTCTAGATCGGTGTGGAAAAACTTGACTGGCCTGCACAGAGCCCTGACCTCAACCCCATCGAACACCTTTGGGATGTATTGGAATGCCGACTGCGAG